TTCAAAAAAGGGTGATAGGCACTCTCCATCTAGTTATCAGCCCATTCCTCTTCTGTCTCCAGTTGGTTAAGTCCTTGGAATGGTCATTTTGAAGCACTTGCATATTTATTTTTTTATCTAATCAGTACCAAACAGGTTTTATGCCTTGCCATTCAACAGTGTTTATCAACTAATGTATATATATCACAACATTTGATTATATCTAGAAGAAAAGAAACACACTTGTGTGATATTCTGTGACATTTCTGAAGCCTTTGACAGAGTCTGGCGCAAAGGTCTACTAGTCACGTTAAAAGGATATGGTATTTCAGGCGACTTCTTGTCCTGGATAAAAAAAAACACCTCCTTAAGTAATAGGCAACAGACAGTTTCTATCAATAGTTATTCCTTTGATTTTGGTATGATAGGGACCGCATTCCTCCAAAGCTCAATCAGACCTTATTTATATAACGCCGATGAACAACAGCACCTCTTTATGCTGATTCTCTCAAAAAAACTTCTTCTTCGTGTCGAAAAATATAATTGGTTGTATAAAGGTGGCAAAACATTGGCTGGTTGCTTTCAATCCAAACAAAACTGCGGTTGTGACGAAGATCTTTTAACACATTTTTTGATGGAAATATTTTGAATTTCACTAGTTTGCATAGACATCTTGGAGTCGTTGTTAATTCAGATGCAAAATAGTCTGATCACTTTGATATAAAATGAAAAAAGAAATTGCCTTAATAAAAGTGAAATATATGTTAAAGCATTATGCTATATTAAAGAATTTACAAATTCTTAATATTTCCTATTTTCGAATTTGCGTGCGAGGTTTGGAATGAATGCTCTCCGGTAGATTCAGAAAAAGTAAAAGCGGGCTCAGCTTGAAGCAGTTAATTACTGGATTACCATCTTATGCCAAAAATGAATCTTTATATCTCGAATCAGAATTAAAATTACTTTCAGATAGAAGATCTAGAAGAAAACTTCAATTATTATATAAAATGAACATGCAAATAATTCCAAGCCATCTATCACATCTAGTACACCCCCCAGTAGGTAAAATCAGCTATCTATATCCCCTCCAGGAGGTGAAAACAACTAATGTATATGCTTTAAGAAATTAAGACAATAATTGAATTCTAAATCATAGATTTTCTACTACAACAAAAATGTTTCTTCCCTTCTTCATTAAATAACTGGAACATTTTAACACGTGGGAAGATAATATTAAATCTCTGCCTCTACCATCTTTTAAACTAGCGCTTAACACATTCCCACAAATCAATCCTGCTACTTAAGGTATGGTGAAAGATAATGAAATATTATACATACTACACTAAGACATCAATGCATCTCGCTTAACGATGATATTTTTCGTGCTAATTTAGTTCAGTATTCTAACTTTGCAAATTGTGGGCACCAATGTGATAGAGATTATCATTTATTTTTAAGTGGCATTTAAATGCTCGTGCAGTAATACTTCAAACTTTTAATAACTTACGCATGTCATTTAGCTTCAATTTGTCATTTTTTTGGCAATGAAAACCTGGCTTTGGATGTAAATTGTATTTGGATAAAAATAAAATGTGCAGTCCTTCATAAAATCAGAGGAAGATTTTGAACATAACATATAAATATATTTATCTATTACAATTAACATATAATTTATTTCTTCATAATATTTAATTTGAAATTAATTGTCTATGTCATCACTTGTATGTGTATGAGATATTTTGTTGATAGGAGATGGCTTCTTAAGTTGTTATAACTTATGCCAAACCCTTTGTACCAGTAGGACAATAGCAAATGTTTAAAGTCATAGACTGACTATACATGTACAACAAACGTTTTATCACTATAATATAATACAAATTTAAATAAAAAAAAATTCTTCCCCCGTTTTAGCCAATTAATAACCGGAAATGAGTCTCTTTTCAAATGAAGTAAATAGTGCAAGCAAACTGGATGTGTTGTTCTTTTATTGCAACAATTTAGGGGAAATAAAAAAGAAAGATCGGTGCGTGCCTCTAGAACGATCACAGATTTTCGCGACGCTTTAGGTTATGACTCCAAATGCCAAAATGTGAGATCTAATTATCATAACAACATTGGCGGAAAAACCTTATGTGTTTTTGCATCTTACAAAACCCTTTTTTTCAACTGTGTTACGGGGATAACTACAACATGTTCCCAGTCCCTTAAGAAAGGCATTCGAGCCATGATTGTCTTTGTAAAACTTATTAAAGTATATATCGGAAAAGTGGTGGGACACTGTAGAGATAAGTTGTTTTCACAAAATGTATTAAGTTTCTGTTGGCATAAAAAAACAAACACGTTTCATCTCATTTGCCACCAACCGGTGTTAATAGCTGCAAAGGGGTGCCTCTTGTTGCTTTTTCCAATTTTTTTTTTGTTCACAGTTTTACCCATGCAGAATGTTACCTTTAATTACCATGTGTTCACAAGCTACCCGACACAGACATTTGTTACCGTACATGTCATTAGCGCTAGAACTCTGATCAGATACCACATTACAGTTTTCCATTTGATCAATTGAGGTGATTGTAAAGAAATGTTTTACAAATAAAATGAGTTAAGTATTGTCTGGGTTATCGTAGCCCGAGTTTCCGCTGGCCGTGATACCAGACTTAGATAATTTTTTTACAGAAAGATGTCTGTCTAGAGACAGGTAATTGAATTGTAATATAAATTGTAGTGTAACGTAAAAATGAGCTATGGATTGTATGGTTTGAAATGAAAACTATCTATGTTTGCCCTTATGGGGAACATTTATCTTAATGTGTCTCCGCTATCAGAATTTGTCCCTTAATGTTCTATATGAAATACAGACAAATGTTGAATCCCTTGGACTCCGGTAAAAGCTTATTTGTAAATGCAACGCAATCCGTCACTGGTTTTATCACCTGGTACGCACAAGTCTGTAATTCCATGATCCAGACAGTATTTATTCAGTGCATGTAATCAGGCACTTCGACGCCGGGGGGAAACATCAGATAAAATGTTGTATCAGAATGAATTATTGATGCTAGTTTTTATTTCACGAACAAATCTGTTGAATTCGTGTTCGAAAAAAACACACCAAAAAAATAGATTTCCGACAAGTCAGATGACAAATACATACATTGATATACAACATATGCGTGATTTTAAAAGCTGATGTAACAGAATATTTTATACAGTGTATATTGATTTTCCTTCCTGAAAATAACTCGTAACAAAAATGTGAAAACGGTTAAGAAGTTTTCTGGTCATGAAACTGCAGGTTATACATGTAGTTCCTTTTATGTTTTTTATTTCTTATTCAGAAACATTTCGCAGATATATTTTGGATCTTTTATTTGTTGTTACTTTCTAATATTCTTACAATGAAAATTCTTGCAATGTACAAGGAATGTGAGCTAAAACAGTGTTTTGTGGTCCAGTATATTTAAACAGTTCAACACAGTATCTCACGGATAAATGAACTCGATCTGGAAATGTAATGCATGTACACGAAGTTCCTCGTATCGATAGCATTTATAATAAAGTTTATTAAAAAAAAGTCAATAGACAAAACCAAAATATAACTTTTAAAACATGTATCCATGTTAATTACAAATGTGAGCGGGATCCAGAACCTTATAACTGTTACTGTGGGACGCTTTCTCGATTTCAATTGGCTAGTTTATTTCACGCCCAAACACAATCTCGCGCAACCATAATGGTGTTATTCATAATCATAAACCTTCATGAAATCGTGTGATACCGAAAACATTTGGTTTTCGCGATCCCGACCTAACATATTAGGTGTTATTCAGTATAAAATAATTAAACTTTTTTTTTACAAATCTATAATCAAACGGGAAGCAAAGGAAAGGAAATGAGTAATGGTTTGTGGGGTAAGAGTTCACATCAAAATGACGTGATAACTTGCTATTTTCATCTTTAAACCTCAGTGGGATGGCGATTGTAACACGCCGTAATCTTAACAACCTCGTAATTCACACTGAGTTGCAGAGACGCTGAGAGTTATCATCATCATCATAAAAAAGATTAGCCTGTCAGAATTTTACGTTTGCACAATAGTCATGGTGAAAAAAATGAAAACATCTAATTATTTGTGGGGAAACCTTCCATATCGTAATGAACTCTAAACGAGCGTTAATTGCATTTTGAATGCAATGTTATGATTCGCGTGCATAACCAGATAACCACGTGATAACATGGGGGCTTGTTAATGTATCAGAAAGGCGAATTTACATATTACATATTTACATATTACATATTTACAATAACATATTTCATATGTAATACAGATATATATAACTTTATATAAAAATTCAGATAAGTGGGTTGTATTTATGACAATTTTAGATACAAATATGTCCCATAAAACATTTTCTTCACCATTCACGAAAATATACCCATAAAACGGCGACCACATACACACACAGAAAGTGAACAGGTGCTTTGGCTTGTGATGTGTAAAACATTTTCTAACAAAGAAATGTTAATGCGTACTTAATCAATAAAGCTTTATCGAATTTAATGTCATTGCGAATTCATTGAGCATTAATATCTTCGATTCTGCTTCAGAACGAGAGCTTTTATCTCCTGATCAATACAGAACGACTAGCCGGTGGGGCTGGAGGAGGTGCAACACGGTGTAGGTACGTACAACATCCACTCACGTCAGTGTAAGTGGATCAGAGAGGTATTTTAAGCATCATCTGCGTTTGTGAACACCTCAGGAGTCTGGATGTTACAAAATGTACATTGTGTAACGCACTATGTAAACGCATGTGCTCTTATATATATAGAAATCGTTAAAAAAATGAAAATAATAACATATATTAAGCAAGTATTATATATTCTTTATGCTTTTTTTTATCAATTTGTGCCTTTTTTGATTTATATAAATGTCATTAAAATCGATATTTTGTGTTATCCCCCTGTAGGCTCCTGTGTCACGACAGACGAAAGAAGGATGTGACCCCAGGATGTGTGACCTCGGGCAGGTTTGGGTGAGTGTTGCTGAAACGGGATTATAAATAGTGGCGGAAACATTACTGTGTTGGTGTATGTGTGCGTACACAAATCCCTAACAGCTGGATGTATCGCATGCAAACGGACCTGTGGGATTTCTGTTCGGTAAGTTTGTACAAGTGGCTTCAGAGAGATAGACAAGTTACCGACAGTCGAGTCGTATGCACAGTTATTTACACAACACGAAACAAGAGATAATTTAAATAAGATGATTCAATGTACACTGTAACTGTTGTCAGCCTTGTTGCAAATCAGAGACCATAACACTAGTACTGTAACACTAAATGGGGAATACCGCATCCATGCACTTCCGGAGGTCAAGTCAGCACGCTGATCATACTGATAGAGAATTGTTTCTCAAATATTTGTAGTTACTCATAGCCGCGTGGTCTATCACTCATGGAGAAGATTATGTGAGCCTAAGTATAATCTGCATGTACCAGTAGAAGGCAGGTTTCACGAATACGTTCAGTGTTTTCTTGCTACCGTTCTTGCTGGAAGCGTGTTACCGACAGGTTAGTACAGCAAGTTTAGTACATATGTTTATGATTTCTACATGGATGATCTGAAGGCTTAGAAGATTTTCGGTCGAATATCCTTGTACATGTACCGTTTCAACCACAGAGAGAAAATTTCTGTTGATATATATAACACCACAGCTTTCTGTGCCTGTACGCTGCAATTTTCCCGGGGCTGAGTGTTTACGGATTATATGCGTACAGAACAGCTGTATATAAAACCGGAGCTTCACTAACAGTCAGTATCAACATCCGGTATGTTTTTTAATATATTTGTAGCCATGTTATACCACAGGTTCTAGCCTCGTCTGTCAAATACACCCACGATTATATTATAGGTGTATTGACAGACGAGGCTAATACCTAAGGTTCTTCAAAAGAAACTGAAAATATTATATTATTTATTAACATTTCAATAAATAAACGTGCACTTTCCAGTACAACAGTAATATATGGTCCTGATAATGTATCATGTTTTCGTTGATACGTATTCGCACTATTCACAATATATACAAACAAAAGAATGACCGTTTTGTACATGTTTATAATATTGATGTGTTTTGGTATTCCGTATCTTCGGTTTTCGGGAATGAAATGTAAAGTTGAAATAAGTTGTCAGTCACCCGAATATAATCCCCTCACACTGAATGGTCAGTATATAGTGGACTATTCAAATTGGCCAACACGTTTGACCAAGGCATTTGCCACGTGTATATCGTGAAGCAAATGTCAATGCAAATGAGAATGACAGTTTACGTTGCGGCAACTTGGAAACACAAATGCCCGTCCAAACTCAGATGTGTCAGGATATGAGAGAGAGAGTTGAAGCAAAGGGTGAGATATTCCCGTCGAAAGTAATCGTACTTTGAATACCTGGTCATCCCGAACATTAATAAGGGGTTGCTTTCAGCGTGCGGAAGTGTGCAGACGCAGAGGCCAAAGCCTACTGGTTGTAGACCTTACGTCAGAGAAATCTGACTGTTCTCGTTTGTCTCGTTTAATCTCAGTCTGTATATCTCCATGCTAACGTTTGGAAGTAGTAAGATAGATGTAATCGTCAGTTCGAGAACCATGCGCCTCCATCAACGGCCAGAACAAGCTATCGTTCTTGATAGGGAAAAGGAGTGAACAGGGTTGACATACTTCGAGCACTAGATGTTGTTTTGCTGTGAACTTTTACAGTTTAGAGGATATTTTGATCATTGTCGCTAGATATCGTTTCCAATAAAAGCTCCTGGTTATCAAGTTCAAAACGTCGAATTGACACGAACAAATTTTTTGACGATAACAAACCCGCTATCCCGCTACTTGAATTTCCCAATAACATTACATTGTTGCGTTGGTATTACAAATTTACTGTTGAAAATAAAGATAATAAATCGGATTCCTAAAGATTTCAAATGCATCTTTTTATATTGCATTATAAGAAGTTTTGTTATGAAAATTTACCAGCTGCACACACCCAAGTGATCTTTTTTTTTTCTTTCCCCTGAATAATACAATATCTTAGAGACGGGGCCAGTTCAAATGTTTCCTTGTTTTGGTTTTTTCTTTGTAACAATAGCCTGTACAAATGAAACGAAGCCGTTGTGTATCGTAATTGTAAATCAAATAGATTCTTATTGGCGTAATTGATTGTTCGTTTAAATGCTATTGGCGATTTTGTTGTTGTTTTCTACCCGGACGGAAGACGTGTTTGTGTATAATCAATCTGATTAAAATCATAGCCTACGTTCTCTATGTATTACGTGATACTTAGAGAACGTAGGATATGATTTTAATCAGATTGCTGTATAATCGTCTTCAGTGCGTGTTCTAGGGGAGGTTATTCGTAGAAACGTTTGTTGAGTCATGATCAGAAACGCGAACCTGATGCCGAAAAGTGGTGGGTGACTGATCTGTGCCATTTCGTCGTGTCGTCTTTTTGCCCCGAAAAGACCATTTGTTTCCTTTCCTCTTTACGCAGTCCAGTTCATTTGGTGTCCAATAACATCCAGGAAGCTATTATTGTATACTTTTGGTGTACAACAACAGCTAAGCTCGGCCTCTTAGCTGGGTATTGGTATTTATTGTACATGCAACTTCAAAGGAAAACCAGGCGGACCACGGAACAAGGTTTGTTAATTCTCGTCTTGGTTTGATACTTCTCACTTTTCGGTGCGAAAAGACGAAAGAACGAAAGTTTAGGTAAGTTAATTCTCATCTTTTTGTGGCGAAAAAATTATCGAACAAGAATTTAGGTTGATAATTTTCATCTTTCGGAGCGAAAAGACGAAAGAACGAAAGTTAACATAAAATAATTCTTATCTTTTTGTGGCGAAAAAACGACCGAACGATGTTGTGATAATTCTCGTCTTTCCGGGGAGAATTGAGACGAACCAGACTGAAGAAATTTCCCGCACCACGACGAATGCCACGGAATTGTCCATGGATGTTCCGCCAATGAAACAGATGACTTCTCGAAAAACTTAAAAGCACCCGGTTTACAACTGTGTATACTAAATGTTAACTCTAAAACGGTAGACGGTGTGTAGGTTTCCAATTAAAAGAAGAAGAGTTTTAACTACAGTGTAGTACGCCTGACGAGGAAAGCGGAATCTGTTCCTACACAGCTATCCGAAAGACTATCCGAGTGGTTCATTCATTGATTGAAACCATGCCCAAAGCTGTCTAATGAAAATTGTAAACTTGTATTGAAATAATTTGTTCTAGTATCGCTGTATTGAATTATCGATTATTATATGACAATAAAATATTCAATATATGAAATCGTGTTGTATTCCTTTCCGCCCCTTTAAATCCACGCCTGTCCCCGGAGATTTGCATTATATTCTGTAGAATGAACAAAGAAGTATGTCCAGTCCATACGTATATATATATATACATTGTACGTGTTACACGTGTTAATGGAGGTGAACAATGTATACTACATGTACATTACGTATGTTTATTAGCACTGTCAATAGAACATACAATGTAAGAAAATGTAATGAAGTCTATATGAAAATGATTGTATGGTATACGTACATATGTATATATACGTGGTCTTTGTTTTGTAGGTGTACACCTGGAATACACACCTGACCTTAGTGTGTTGAGGCAGGGATGACACACGAGGATCGTTCGTTATCTGTTCCTGCTTTACGTATACCTGTCCGAGTTAAAGGGCGACCGTTACACTCGGACAGCCAGCACTTATACTGAATACCGTCATTATCAGGACAAATTGTTTACTTGACTTGACAAAACAGGTTTATTATGATGTGACGGATACTGATTTCCAAGTTTAATATCGAAAGGCCTGGCAGAATTACCGATTACAGCCCTCTACGTAAGGCATTGGACTAGTAGACTTGGATGGGAACTCGGCACGTGTGTCGATATTGAACCGTAAGCAGGTGAATGTGTTCTCATGGCACGTTCCAGACCTACAGGGGCGTACGTCTTCCACCTGTACAAAACAGGGGGAGTTACGACAGCGATTTGTCGGTGATCCATTCCTATTGGACCGGACATTGATGTAAAGACGAACACGCATATATATGCACCGGTAAGGTATGTACTGTACATGTAACATGTCCATTTGATTTGGACCCACAGGTAAACGTACAGTTGACTTACGAGTATAAACGGAACATTGATAACGCGTGCTATGAACCTATTTTATATGCACGTTGATCTCAAGGACTTTACAAAATCGCTGTAAATTTGACTTGTAACTGCAAGTATTACCGATTTCACAAAAGGTATGTATGATATTTGAAATAAAAAAAAGTATGATTGTTGTAAAGTTTAAACTCGTCAGTGCGGATCTCAATGACCCATCCGCACACAAAGACCAAACGGATCAACTTCAACGTACATGTATTTAGAAGCAGGTTCATTATATAAAATATACGTATTGCTTAGTGTTAGTAAATATATATACATGTTGTGACGTCCCGGAATGCCGAAATATGTTGCTTATACATGCAGTCATGATCAGGAGGCGAGTTTCCTCAATTAGTTTAAGATATTTAAAGGATAATGAACATTACTTATCTAATGTTATGTAGTCCACCTGTTGAAGGGACAAGCTTACTACATTGTACGTACTACAATTAAAATATATCGTTTTGTCAATCACTGTGGCTATCATCAAAGTACAGTAGTACGATACCTTTGTTAGAGACCTCAAATCCGTTTGTAAAAAAATAAGTGCTTTATATTATATAAGATGGCGCGTTTTTTGGGTAATAAATCAAATGAAGTTATACCGCAAGAAAGGATGATCAAAGCTCAAGGCTTAATGTATGTGTGCGAATTGTTTTTTTTCCAAATACATGTACCGCAAAAAAACTACAACAGATAATGCCGAAGGTATTGTGTTAGTGTACACTGCATATTTATTTTATATACACAGTAGCCCACATATTACTATGTACAGACTGTATACCATATCTGGCCTAATCGGGCATGACAAACTCTTACATAACGAACCGGTAGCAGCTTCACATGTCTCACACGCATTGACACTTTACATATATATACAACATTGTGAATAGTTAAAACTTGGGTCATCAACGTTCCCTCACTGGTCGGACCCCAGGCTAAGTATTATTTTATGTTGTGGTGGAGCATTGGTATTTTATTGCCGGTTTGTAATATAAACCGTCGCGCTGTTTTGTGTGACGATGTGTATGTGGTTTATATCTTTTTACGGGCATCCTTGTTTTGTAAATATGTAGCATGACGGCAGATGGATACCTCAGATACGTGTATATGAAAGTAACAGGGGAAGTTGCCAATGCAGTTGTATTTGTATACCACGATTAGCGGTAGTAAGCGTTTATGTGGCTGACAATACATATCTATACTGGCAGTATTTTCTTGTCACAGGTACTACACACACGTGTTGTTGGCAGTAAAGCCGTCGGCATTCATCCGGAACACCAATTTGGGATCTTAAAGAAAATCACGTGAGAGGGTCGAGATTTATAAGTAAACATATTGTGTGTTTGGAACCCGGACGTAACCTTGTGTGATCTTCGTATCCACCCGATGTCCGAACTTTATCCAGTATGAGATTACGGACGCGCTATGTAGTTTCCTGTGTTGGGATAGTGTTCCTCGTCTGTACGTATGAGTTATACGTTAACTCGGGGGCTGCCAGAGATCTGATGCGTTCCGTCTCGGGGGAGCGGTTTCAACACGATAACGATGACTTCATTCACGGGGGGAGGGGGATCCGCCGGAGAGTAATGGTGAGACGAGAGGATACCGTTCGTTACACTGCAGATCATAATCAACGGGCTCTGTTAGTAAACACAAGCAGCCAGAGCTTAGTGACGATTACAGCAGACGAATTTAGGAAAAACAACGATATAAAATCGGGTAATCCACTGATTGACGAGTATGGTTCAAACGACCTACATCGGACGGGGGAAATGGGACGAGGAGTCACGTTCGTAGGAACAGAAAAGAAAAAGGTGGCCGAGGCTATTGAGAAATATCACCTCAATGTGATAGCAAGCGATCTGATTCCCCTCAACCGGATGGTACCGGATTCCAGACTGTCAAGGTAATACACGATTTATAACTACCAAATAGTACAACACTGTTTACAGTGTACACATCCACCCTCAAGTGGCTACTAAAGCAATGATATAAAATACGGAACCATTCAACCGCAACATATATATATAATTAAACATATATACCACTATCAACTACACATATATACATAATGAACCGCCTTCACCACAACCACTACCATCACAACATGTATAACAATGTACCACTACCATCACACAACGTATAACAATATATCACTACCATCACAACATGTATAACAATATACCACTACCATCACACAACGTATAACAATGTACCACTACCGTCACAACACTTATAACAATGTACCATTACCATCACAACACGTATAACATTATACCACTACCATCACAACACGTATAACATTATACCACTACCATCACAACATGTATAACAATATACCACTACCATCACAACATGTATAACGATGTACCATTACCATCACAACATGTATAACGATGTACCACTACCATCCTAACACGTATAACAATGTACCACTACCATCACACAACGTATAACAATGTACCACTACCATCACAACAATGAACGATGTACCACTACCATCACAACACGTATAACAATATACCACTACCATCACAACATGTAAAACGATGTACCATTACCATCACAACACGTATAACAATATATCACTATCATCACTACACGTATAACAATGTACCACTACCATCACAACACGTATAACAATATACCACTACCATCACAACATGTAAAACGATGTACCATTACCATCACAACACGTATTACAATATACACTACCATCACTACACGTATAACAATATACCACTACCATCACAACATATAAAACGATGTACCATTACCATCACAACACGTATAACAATATACCATAACCATCACAACACGTATAACAATATACCACTACCATCACAACATGTAAAACGATGTACAAGTACCACTACCATCCTAACACGTATAACAATATACCACTACCATCAGAACATGTTAGGATGTACCACTACTATCACAACACGTATAACGATGTACCACTACCATCCTAACACGTATAACGATGTACAAGTACCACTACCATCCTAACACGTATAACAATGTACCACTACCATCACAACATGTATAACAATGTACCACTACCATCACAGCATGTAAAACAATATACCATTACCATCACAACATGCATAACAATGTACCACTACCATAAAAACATGTGAAACGATGTACCATTACCATCACAACATATATAACAATGTACCACTACCATCCTAACACGTATAACAATTTACCACTACCATCACAACATGTATAATAATGTACCACTACTATCACAACGTTTATAACAATGTACCACTACTATCACAGCGTGTATAACAAAGTGCCACTACCACCACAGCGTGTACAATCTATTAAAACCTACCACTATTACCACCACATATATACCTGTGTAAAGGTTTACTGCATCATGTGTTCCATGCTATTACCACAGCATGTAAACAGATGTACCAGTATGATATTTGTCTTGTAAATATTTTGTTAAATGATGTTTTGCTGTTATTTAAATAATTTCTTCACTTGTCCACATTTATATAGAAACGTGATATTGTGTAACTTAATCTGGCACTAGGGTATAATGAGGTTCGGAGTCATACCAGGTGAAACTGAGTTTGCAGGTGTGTTGACAAATATTTTAAACGTGCTAGCTGTGCATGCAAGTTATGAAATGTTTCTTGTTACACAAACCAATAAGAAAGATTTCATAATCCTTAATTTCAAACCTGAATAAAATGTTTAGAAATGTACATACAGTTGTTGATTGTAAAATCATTATCTACTTGAAACATATCGTTCTTTGCTACTTTACAAATGTCAAACATTGCTGTTGTTTTTGTGATTTCATGAAAGCAATTTAATGTTTAACATGCGACACTGTTCTTTTTCAACAACACGGGACAGAAACAATGTTAACTGGTTATAACCATTTCCCCTATAGAGACACATACATATCAGTTTATATAGCACTGCTAAAGAATGTCAAGAACGCACTGGCTTCGAGCTACATTATGTGGTGACATGGTTTTCTGGGATCAGTACGAATTTCATGGTCATCAGTAATTCAGTATGACGTCACATTTAATTGACGTCATTGTCAGCAAAATGGGCTTCTAATTTTACCCAAATTCCCCACGAGTTTGATAAAATTAAAATATGTTTAACAGTTTTGTTAATCTAAATAGATCAGGAAGTATTTCAAAGTGTGTCCTTGATACAATAGATTCGTTAGACGTTATATATTATATAATGCAGTCCCGATAGGTAAGTTGTATTTGGTTAAAAGTCATATTTACATCAAAGGTTATTTAAGGACATCAGAAGGCAAGTAACCTGTTATACATATCTCAGAATATTGTATGTAAAATATGAACGTAAGTTGAAAAGCAGGGATCAGTTTAAGCCCAGCCCCCCCTCCCCCCCCCCTTTTTTCATAAAATTAATGCGTTTATCGATATATAAATTGAACTGTACAGCTGTCGATATCAATATTAGACTTCCAAATCACGTTATTCACTGCCCGTAAATTTCTAAGTACATCGTGTATATCTTTTGATCTCTGTATGAGGGAGACTGCATGCCATTACTACTCGACCAAGAAATTACATGTAGCTGATAGACAAAACGCAATAAATATGACGTCATCACCACGATGATTATTATGACGTCTCAGTGATTATGTTGGATATATACTAAACGTTTACTGATTAAAAAGAAAGAAAAAAAAATGTATGCCCTACGTGAATTTCACCGTCGCGTAAAAATAAAAATATTCATTTTAGACACACATGGAATTTATATTGATATATGTAACAAGCAATATGATCGGTATACGTGTCAGTACAGGGAAATAAAGACGATATCACGCCCACCACGCCCATCTCGCCCACAACGCCTCAGTTTTACTGGTATACATTGTACATCTGATCACATTGCTTCTTTCTGGCTTTAGAGAAATACGTTTTACTACAAATAAATGTTACTATATATATAATGAATAACAAACTGTATAGTGGGTAATTAACTAATTTGGACAGGATAGTACGCCGAAAAATACGAATATTTAAAATCCTAAGTTGTATACATTGTTTACACGTATAATAAATAACTGATTCGGATTATAGATAGGACGCCGTAAAAATCGAATAATTAAAATTTTAAAATATAAAAATGTAAATTCTAATTATACAAATATTATACCTAGGATTTGGGTAAACACGGAAGATGTTGACGTAGCCTATGGTGAACACGTCGGGAGCTTTTCCATTTGTTAATTAAGAAGTCACGAACTTTATAAAACCAGGATGCACAAACATGTAATGTCGCAATGCTTTAGAATCTAAAATAGCGAATACAAAAAGGAATGTCGTGTTTCACTCAGCAGTAACAAAGAGAGTATGGAACGGAACCTTTTCCAACGTCGTTTGAAAGCATATACTTTTTTTCTTAGTATTGTTAAACCCATTGATTAAATTTTAAATAGATTCGGAATATGAGTTTTTCATGGAAATTGAATTTTGATGGAAACCAAGGAACTTCAATACGAATGAACGGTTAACGTCAATTTGATGACTGCCTTTTGTTACATGTACATCTGGCATTTTTGCAATATGTTCGTCTCGAGCGCAACGTGTTATTTCTTCTGTATTGACCTTTGGTCACGTCTGTGGCGCGATGGCTGGATACTTAGACTGGCTGGAGGCACGTGCATTGTTCGAGGATACTTCGGTCTGCCATGTGTCAAACTTATATCGAATTAAGTCAAGAATGATGGCAATAAAGAATTTGCAGTTCTGCAATCAAATTGAGATTTTTGCATGCCACTAATCTAAAGTGATGTAACGCGTCATTTAAATTCATATTGCAAATTGTATGTCTTTATTCTATGTTTTGTTTATCGAACAAAGAGCTAAACAATTATAAAAGAAACATTTCTGCGATATCTTTTAATTGGTTCCATGTGGCAGTAAACAGGACCACATACATTGACATTTCTGACAAATGACTTCAGTTTTTCTTCGTCAAATTATGAATATCTACGGAAAGCTTTGGTCTATTTACGTTGCAAGCATACGTAGCAACTACTTAATGATTGGACGGTTGAGATTTTGTGGAAAATTACGATGTATTCAGAATATCGTCAGGCTTACGTGTTTAATTTCATTATGTTGTTTATGCAACCCTTTTTTCAAATGGGTGTGTTTTCAACACGTTCACGATGTACTGGTTGGTTGGTGCATGTACCTTTTGGGAGGACTGTTTGTGGTTTCGTTCAGAGTTACAAGATAAGTATACCATAAGGATATTTGATGTTTTTATTCTGTTTACGTATCTCAGTTCCTGTCTTTGTGTAGTATCGTTTCTTGGCTCCACTTGTCTTTTCGTGCTGATGTATTGCTTGCTTTTTTTCGAAATGTACTTTTGACAAAAGTGCTGCTCTCTATTGATACCCACTATCTTACATGCTGTTAGATGGTTCCAATCAATAACTAATTGCCTTATTATTCGCCTATTTTGTTACACTACACATATAGACGAGTTACACATTGTAGATTTGGTTACCGAATGTGATGATTTTGTCAGCTATAGTTATCTAAAACAAATGTCAGCTTATCAGTGCCGACATATTAAATCGGAGAGTACTGTTTTGCACTGTCCATTCCTGTTCTTTCTGTCGACGTATCGACACCAAACAATTATTAGCTTAAATGGTTATGATTCCTCAAGTCCAAACTTAACGAGGAAACATGAATTTGCCCAAACATAGGAAATACAAAAATTGTCCATATTTGTTGTTGAAATGCGAGTTTAGCCTATAATGCCTGCGTCATATGGACGGGCCGTTACGTGCATGTTATCTTACGCAATTCTAGCTCCCTATACGCCATACGCATTAAAATTCGTGTAAGATTTTGAGCTAAACTCGCGATTCCTTTTGAACTCATACGTCACTGACTGTCCAAAACTGCCTCGGACTCCCACGTCCTGAAATTTGTATTTGGTACTAAGCTAAATCATGAGATGGCAGGGTGTCGTAAACCAAACGTATATGTCACTGAGTTCTGACCTCTGACCCCATTCAAATAGTTGTGGCATTCATGGCACATTGCAAATAACTGTCAGTTGCTGCAAAACCAGTGACTCATTTCTGTGTTCCCATTCACGCAGAAATGTGCGTGATTCGCGTACACTCTAAATAAACTGTTTGGGATCAGTATTGTTTTCAATCAGCTGTAAACTAGAGAGCACACAAGAAATATATAAAGTTTACCATTATAATGTCTATATCTACATATAAATAGACAAATATTCCTTAAATAAAGTACGGACTGATAGTCGTGCTGCCCGCATGTGCATGGATAAAACTGATGTGTCCCGTGAAACCGACTTCTTTTCAGGATCTTATAAATGCAAATTGATATGTAATGGATATGCGTGCTCGCTATTGACTGCCGCAATGAAAATAAACACCAAATAGGAAAAGAATCACATTATACGGAGATTGGTGTGCACCAGACATGCGACACGTTTATACCATGTACCCTGTTTCTATATCTTCGATTGTTTTATTATGACAGGGACATTAAACTAATTTAGACACCACATAATGCAAACCTATTCAAGAATGTCGTGATATTCCTGCAGTATCTAGTGTTGAACCCTGAGTAGATGAGGGCTCGGGGACAAACAACAGACGCTATCGTGCTGATCTGTTTCAATCTTCTTTATTCAGAATTATAAACACGCTAGCCCAAGCCATAGCCCTAATACATAGCGATAGACCACATTCGTGTTACTATAATTAGAATTTAGTTGTCTAGCAAGTCTAGATCCATTAGCTTCCACAATAATTGTACATTACATGTACCACGGTCATCAGATGGTTTTCTTACCAAGACATTTTTGCTCCTCATGTAGGATCTCAGATATGATGGCAAACTCATTCGGGTCTAACAGGGTATGATTTTGATTTAAACATATTTTTTTGCAAATAACAGATGTTGCAAACGAATTGGACACAAGTTTTGCCAACTTATTAAAATCCTCTTCGAAAAGAATTGATTGATTACAATACATATCTACATATGACAAGAAAGAATTGTAGGTAAGAGAGGGGACAAAGAAGAGATCGAGATATTTTTCGAAAAATATTGGACACCGCTAACTTAAGTTTTATTGCAAATTATAATTTGTTTTCATCTCGATTGTGAGCCATGTGAGTGTTCATTTTCCACGAAGACGGAGCTTGTGATATACCAATCACTATTCACACACCTTCAGCTTGTCTATTGTCCATTACCTCCCGTACCTTGGTTGCACTCTCTCCTTGACGTTCCTTCCTTGCTGTTAAAATCCGTTTCCACTTGTCCGTCTTCATGGTAAATGCCCATTCACATACTATGGATACGTATATTGTTTTATATAGATTGTTAATGTTAGCTGTGTACGGTATTCAGACAACAGTATTGGTAGGAGAAATTGATACATGTGTATAATGAAAAGTGCATGTTTTGTAGTGAACACAATCAAATCATAAGAGTAGTAGGCAGTAAGTAAATAATATCGAAGTTACACATAACACACATTCATTATCAATTTACTTATCATGCAAGAGTATCAATCAAATTTGCTCTAAACAAATCATAGTTTAGAGAACTCGCACGATTTCTTAAACGACGATTTCTTAAACGACAATGTTATATGTTAGATTTACGTGTTCCAAAAGGAAGGAAATGCTGTTTAAGTTTAGTTTCGTTCTTATTGATACTTTTGTTTATTCTCGATTTAAAAATGTTTAAGGTTTCAGATGATTTAATATGTTCATTAAGATCATTCCATGCTTTAATAGTTGATGGAAAAAAAGAGTTTCGCATAATTTGCAGTCGATAGTTAGGCATTCTTATTTGTTGTGCATTCGCATTCCTTAAATTATATCTTGACATGTTGGCATACATTCGCGTAAGTATTCGGAAGCAATATCGCTTTTTGTTGTATAAAAAATTGACAATTTATGGATCTCTCTTCTAATGCATAATGGTGTCCAGCCCATTTCGATGTATAGTAACTCCAGTTTAGTATATGTTGGCAACCCTGTGACAATCCAAGCAGCTTCTATTTTTTTTAAATTTTAATGTTTAATGGATTAATAAGGATTCCCCAACTTTATCCCAACTTTATCCCATACCTCACATGCATATTCAAGAAGTGGTCGGATATATGTCAGATACATTTTGTCAAGATTATTTCTGTTCAGTATACGTGTAAGTTTTCTTAACGTTGCAATATATTTGGAAGTTATGCCAATAATATCATCAATATGTTCTGTCCATTTCCCATCACTGCTTAATGTAACGCAGAGGTGTTTATGATTTTCAGTTATTTTAATACCAGTATTAATCATTAAAGAAGAATTGTGGTTGCAAGGGTAGATTTGAAAGTGTCACTATCATGATTTCTGTTTTTGTCGGATTAAAAGTCATAAGCCAGTCTTTCGACCATTTTTCTAATATATTCAGGTGAGATTTGATTTCAGATTATATATTAACAAGATTAGGGGATGAATATGACAGTGAAGTGTCATCCGCAAATAAGCGTGATAATGAAGTAAATTCTTTTGAAATATCGTTTATAAATATTAGAAATAATAATGGTCCTAGTACAGGTACACCCACAGTAGTGTTTTAACTGAAGATACGGGTTCGTTAATAAATACTGCTTGCTCTCTATTCATAAGATAGTCGCAAATCCATTTTAAGATATTGCTCGAGATGCCATATTGTTTAAATTTATAAAGTAATCCTGCGTGCCATACCCTATCGAAGGCTTTAGAGAAATCACAAAATACAAATGCTGTGTGTGTCAATAAGTTGGTGAGAACATGAATGGTTGAGCAAAAATCCTGATTGATATTTATGAAATAAATAGTTTTCCTTAGGGTAATTATAATTATGCTTATATACTACTCGTTCCAAAAATTTCCCTACACAGCTTAGTAATGATATAGGTTACCTGATTTAAACATTGGCATTACTTTTGCAACTTTTTATTTGTTTGGATAAAGCCCTAACTGCAGAGAGAAGTTAAAAATAATTGAGAGGGGGAGGGCAATGGGTTATGTCTGAATACAGAGATGCTGTTTAAGTCATATTCATCTGTCTGCCTTAGTTGTATTTAACTACACCGTTTGCGTTCTTCTTATCAAGGAAAATCTTTGAAACAAATGTCATGTTAAAAACGAGTATAGTTGTATTTGCGAACCACTTAAGAGGTGACACGATACTGACCCGGGTTTAAGATTACCTGCTTACGTAGCCGCTCACTGGGTACGTGATGTTTTCTATCATACCATGTTGATCCTGGTATACAATCCTCTGTATCCAGGGGTTACGCTCTCACTTACGCTCTTTGGGGGTTACGCTCACTTACGCTCTCTGCGAAGAGCGAAAGTGAGCGTAACCCCTGGATATCGAGGATCCTGGTATACGTGCACTTTAGTCATTTATGAGAACGATATGAGAAATTCGTAGAGGAAGTCAGTCAATGTTACCTCCCATATCGACATACATGATATATACGTCCCCGTTGTTCCAAACATGCACTAAATGATAATTGTCAACTTATATTACCAATGACCAGATAGCCAGGTATTTAAAACCAGACAGACCTGGGATAGATGACTGTCCTTCAATTAAATTTCTTTTGCAGACTTTTCTTACAATTTTTAATGTTGATTCGTGTACATGTGTAGTTCATATTTTACATATACAAATAATATGATATTACAGAACGTTTGTCGAATGTTTTTCATATAAAAGACAGAATATTCAGTCCCCGCCAAAACTTATGATCGCACGTGCCTTGTTTGCAGTTGCGCGTCCAGGACGTATGAGCATGACCTCCCGACCACCAGTGTCATTGTGCCGTTCTTTGACGAGTGGCCGTCCATCCTACTCCGGACCGTCTACAGCATCGTCAACAGGACCCCGCGCCATCTTCTACAGGAAGTCATCCTCGTGGACGACGGAAGTCAGATGGGTAAGTGACATGGTATACCACCACGGACCATTGCTTCTACCAATAACTTACAAATCAAGTCGCATTCACAGGCCATATTTTGTTTACAATTCATTTTAAGTACAAGTCATATTGCATATGCAAGCCACATTTAGCATACTTATCCCATATTTTGTAGAGGTCAATTTGCGCTACTAATTACATTTTTATGCAAGTCACATTTTGTATACCAAGTTACATTGCGTACAAAAATCATATTGCTTACTACAGAGGTTATATTACGCGGGAGTGTTGTTGTCGTTATATTCGCGTTTTGATTAAATCGGCGAATTTATTAAACGGACACGGTTTTTGAATATTCGATTTTGCAAAAACATATAAACATTCGTTTGATGTATCTGTTCGGTCTGACTTTTGATATCTGGTTCGAAATTGCAATGCAGGCAGAAAGTGATTTTTTACATATTCCAAATTTAATTGTTGCGAGGATATTTTTTTCTAATAAAGTATTTAGCTGACATATATTATCTAAACGATATTCAACGTGACGCAGATAAGGTAATGCTGCGTCATATATGGGATTGTTCAGCATTTCGTCAACTAGAACCATATCCGATATTAACATTACATCCGGGACAAAGTTACTGTAATTTAGTACTGATGTCATGCTAATGTATTCACACCTATAGTTACAGTGTATATTTATACGAAAAAATATCGCCAATGTATCTAGCGCAATGTACTAAAAATCCTAAGTTACCAATAAAACGTGAGTCGCTCAGTTACATGTAACCTGTTTTCACTTTTTTTTGACGCCCCATGTACTACATGTACCACGGACATGGATCACTACACGTGTCAGTGATATGGATGAACAATTTTTTTTATATACTCACACACTCCTATAGGCTGCTTTAAGTATCTAATAGTTTTCGTGTGTGAAATATGTAAGTCTAATTATAGAATATTTCTCATGTACGTGCAAGAAAATTTTGCGCTGACACGATATAAAAATGTCGGAAACATACATTGGAACCTTTTATATATAGTACATTGTACCACACACATACACAATTTACGTCACTTCGTCATTGGGTTAAAAAGCTTCGTGTATAAAACATTCGCAACGTATTTTCATTCATAAAGTGGGAATATATTGGTGCAGCCATTTCTTGTTGCTTAAATCACACCAGTGTATACGTACATGTACTAATGGAAAGTAACTTACATTAAATACATTGTACCTAAAAGATATATAGGTGTATTAATTAAGGAGATATCTCATCATAAACTACATGTACTAGGGATGTATCTATAAATTTAGGAGATATCTTATAAACTGTATGTGATAGGGATATATCTATGAACTTAGGAGATATCTTATGAACTGTATGTGATAGGGATATATCTATGCACTTAGGAGATATCTTATCAACTGTATGTGATAGGGATATATCTATGAACTTAGGAGATATCTTATCAACTGTATGTGATAGGGATATATCTATGAACTTAGGAGATATCTTATCAACTGTATGTAATAGAGATATATCTATGAACTTAGAAGATATCTTATAAACTGTATGTAATAGGGATATATCTATGAACTTAGGAGATATCTTATAAACTGTATGTAATAGATATATATCTATGAACTTAGGAGATATCTTATTAACTGTATGTGATAGGGATGTATCTATGCATTTAGGAGATATCTTATAAACTGTATGTGATAGGGATATGTCTATGAACTTAGGAGATATCTTATAAACTGTATGTAATAGGGATATATCTATGAACTTAGGAGATATCTTATCAACTGTTTGTAATAGGGATATATCTATGAAATTAGGAGACATCTTATGAACTGTATGTGATAGGGATATATTTATGAACTTAGGAGATATCTTATCAACTGTATGTAATAGGGATATATCTATGAAATTAGGAGATATCTTATAAACTGTATGTGATAGGGATATATTTATGAACTTAGGAGATATCTTATCAACTGTATGTAATAGGGATATATCTATGAACTTAGGAGATATCTTATAAACTGTATGTGATAGGGATATATCTATGAACTTACGAGATACATTGTATTGCTTAAACTACAGGTGATAGGGATATATCTATGAACTTACGAGATATCTTATAAACTGTATGTGATAGGGACATATCTATGAACTTACGAGATACACTGTATCGCATAAACTACAGGTGATAGGGATATATCTATGAACTAACGAGATATCTTATAAACTGTTTATAATAGGGATATATCTATGAAATTAGGAGATATCTTATAAACTGTATGTGATAGGGATATATTTATGAACTTAGGAGATATCTTATAACTGTATGTAATAGGGATATATCTATGAACTTAGGAGATATCTTTTAAACTGTATGTAATAGGGATATATCTATGAAATTAGGAGATATCTTATAAACTGTATGATATAGGGATATATTTATGAACTTAGGAGATATCTTATCAACTGTATGTAATAGGGATATATCTATGAAATTAGGAGATATCTTATAAACTGTATGATATAAGGATATATTTATGAACTTAGGAGATATCTTATCAACTGTATGTAATAGGGATATATCTATGAAATTAGGAGATATCTTATAAACTGTATGTGATAGGGATATATCTATGAACTTACGATATACATTGTATTGCTTAAACTACAGGTGATAGGGATATATCTATGAACTAACGAGATATCTTATAAACTGTTTATAATAGGGATATATCTATGAAATTAGGAGATATCTTATAAACTGTATGTGATAGGGATATATCTATGAACTTAGGAGATATCTTATAAACTGTTTGTAATAGGGATATATCTATGAACTTAGGAGATATCTTATAAACTGTATGTGATAGGGATATATCTATGAACTTAGGAGATATCTTATAAACTGTATTTAATAGGGATATATATATGAACTTAGGAGATATCTTATAAGCTGTTTGTAATAGAGATATACCTATGAACTTAGGAGATATCTTATAAACTGTATGTGATAGGGATATATCTATGAACTTACGAGATACATTGTATCGCATAAACTACAGGTGATAGGGATATATCTATGAACGTACGAGATATCTTATAAACTGTATGTGATAGGGGCATATCTATAAACTTAGGAGATATCTTATAAACTGTATGTAATAGGGATATATCTTTGAACTTAGGAGATATCTTATAAACTGTATATGATAGGGATATATCTATAAATTTAGAAGATATCTTATCATCTGTATGTGATAGGGATATATCTATGAACTTAGGAGATATCTTATAAACTGTTTGTGATAGGGATATATCTATGAACTTAGGAGATATCTTATCAACTGTATGTGATAGGGATATATCTATAAATTTAGGGGATATCTTATACACTATATGATAGGGATATATCTATGAACTTACGAGATATCTTTTAAACTGTATGTGATAGGGATATATCTATGAACTTACGAGATATATTGTATCGCATAAACTACAGGTGATAGGGATATATCTATGAACTTAGGAGATATCTTATAAACTGTATGTGATAGGGACATATCTATGAACTTACGAGATACACTGTATCGCATAAACTACAGGTGATAGGGATATATCTATGAACTTACGAGATATCTTATAAACTGTTTGTAATAGGGATATATCTATGAAATTAGGAGATATCTTATAAACTGTATGTGATAGGGATATATTTATGAATTTAGGAGATGTCTTATCAACTGTTTTTAAAAGGGATATACCTTTGAACTTAGGAGATATCTTATCAACTGTATATGATAGGGATATATCTATAAATTTAGGAGATATCTTATAAACTGTATGTGATAGGGATATATCTATGAACTTAGAAGATATCTTATAAACTGTTTGTGATAGGGATATATCTATAAATTTAGGAAATATCTTATAAACTGTTTGTGATAGGGATATATCTATAAATTTTGGAGATATCTTATAAACTGTTTGTGATAGGGATATATCTATAAATTTAGGAGATATCTTATAAACTGTATGTGATAGGGATATATATATATGCACTTAGGAAATATCTTATAAACTGTTTGTGATAGGGATATATCTATAAATTTTGGAGATATCTTATAAACTGTATGTGATAGGGATATATCTATGAACTTAGCACCTGTAGTTTATAAGATATCTGCAAAATTTATAGATATATCTTATAAACTGTTTGTGATAGGGATATATATATGAACTTACGAGATGACTTATAAACTGTATGTGTTTATAATAGGGATATATCTATGAAATTAGGAGATATCTTATACACTATATGATAGGGATATATCTATGCATTTAGGAGATATCTTATCAACTGTATGTGATAGGGAAATATCTATGAACTTAGGGGATATCTTATACACTATATGATAGGGATATGTCTATGAACTTAGGAGATATCTTATAAACGGTATGTGATAGGGATATATCTATGAACTTAGGAGATATCTTATACACTATATGATACGGATATATCTATAAATTTAGGGGATATCTTATAAACTGTATGTGATAGGGATATATCTATAAATTTAGGAGATATCTTATAAACTGTATGTGATAGGGATATATCTATGAACTTACGAGATGTCTTATAAACTGTATGTGATAGGGATATATCTATACATTTAGGAGATATCTTATCATATGTATGTGATAGGGATATATCTATGAACTTAGGGGATATCTTATAAACTGTATGTGATAGGGATATATCTATGAACTTATGAGATATCTTATAAACTGTATGTAATAGGGATACATCTATGAACTTAGGAGATATCTTATAAACTGTATGTGATAGGGATATATTTATGAATTTGGGAGATATCTTTTTAACTGTATGTGATAGGGATATATCTATAGATTTAGGAGATATCTTATAAACTGTATGTGATAGGGATATATCTATGCATTTAGGAGATATCTTATGAACTGTATGTAATAGAAATATATCTATGAACTTAGGAGATATCTTATAAACTGTATGTAATAGAGATATATCTATGAACTTAGGAGATATCTTTTGAAACAATAGATATGATAAATATTTTACATTTAAAGATATCTTTAATTCAATTATACGTTGTAGATATCTTACACTTATTTATTTATTTATCTAATGACATTTAAAGTTATCTTTTCTTCCATCCAAATATATATTTATTACATTTCAAGATATCTTAACTTGCAACGAGATATTCTCATTTTCAATTAATTCAATTAAAGATATTGTAATTGGAATTAAAAATATCTCTATCTCAATTAAATAATATCGCTTGCATTTAATGATATCGCTGTTGGTATAAAATATATCTTTATTTTTTTTGAAGATATCTGTTCTACTTTTGCGACCAATCCTTGGGTATTGAATTCTAAATTGGTTCCCATACTATGGTACATATTGTACATGTACTATATGTATTTGACCAGCCGACAGACCATCCTCGATATCCAGGGGTTTCGCTCACTTTCGCTCTCTGCACTAAAGCGAAAGTGAGCGTAACCACTGGATATCGAGGATGCCGACAGTCGTTATGCGACCAACGTTATTGCAAGCTGTGTGTATGTAGAGACGGTTGTGGCTCGTCGGCTCAAATTGTAAACTAAATAAGACCGTCAAAATAAGTACCCACGAAAAGGTCATGTTTTACAGTAGATGTTCGTAATCTGTCATAATTAATAAAGAAAATGATCTACTTAACTAAGCGAATTGTGTCATGTTAACATTTATGATGGAAATTGTTTTACAGAGGAACTAAGGAAGCCCCTGTCGGAGTACATCAAAAACAACTTCCCCGCTGGCCTGGTGAAATTGATCCGACTTCCGGTCCGGACAGGTTTGATCAAAGCCCGGATACAGGGTTGGAAGATCTCTCAGGGGCAGGTGGTCGTCTTCTTCGACAGTCACATGGAGGTCAACATCGACTGGTATGTATGGGTACATGGTTAAGCCTGTATGACCTTCAGTATACAGATACTCTATATAACCTTAAGGGTGTAAATGTATATATATTACAGTATAAATGCCTGCCGCTAATTTCGAACTCTGATTGGAGGAGCGTTGTCACGAGACACTATGTAATATCTAGATCGGTAACAGACAATATTTAAGGAATAAAAGACTTAAACTGAAAAAGTTTAGGGTAAAATATCTTATAGACTTCATTCTCAAAATAGAATGTGTCTGCTGCGAATTCTCCTCTGTGGTTGGAGAGGAAACGTCATGTGGCGAGTCGGTATATCTTTTACATGCAGATGACTCCATTCCTGGAATTGAATTCAGTGATACAGACTTAAATGGACTACATGTATAACATCATTTGACTTTAATTGATCCAGTTGTGCAAATAGGGGATGACATACGATAAAACGACTTTAGACTTCAGTTTAGGACTATCCATGATTTAAATACCTGCAAATATTGCTCAGGCAAGGTTCATAAATAATGGAATGATCTCTTCTAAAGTCCGTAACTGTATACTATTCGTTTTTCTTGCAGAGTATAATATATAACGTTTGTTTGTCTGATAAGTATAATCTATAGTATTCGTTTCTCTCGTTGGATAAATGTGACATCTAATTTTCATTGGTAAATGCAGTCGATGTCGGAAAAATGCCACGATGACGTCAAACGTCGTATCACACGAACCCGCGAAAAGTACATCACGCTACAGCCAAGGAATTTCGTGTAACCCGTTTATTGATCGGTGTGCGTGTTTGGCCCACGTATTCGAATGTTATGGTGGCCGTCATATTTAAGTGTTATTTATCATTGGTTCATACTGTGTAATGTTTTTAAGACTTTGATGGATAAGTTTGTCCGTATAAACAATGAGCCGTTTGTATTTTAAGAGTGTTCGTGTTCGGAGATGTGTAGAATGTACTGGACACGACTGCCGCCCTTCTGTTGTTCGTTTTGGTATTTGTAGAGACGATTGCGACCCGTCGGTGTTAACCTTTGCTCTATAACTAATTTTACAGTTCAACTTAAAATGCTTTTATACGTTTTATACCTTTTGGAGAAGTTAACACAAGTATCTTAAACGGTTCAATAAATAGCTGATGATGCCGAAAATATGTATTGCGTAAAAAATTCATCTGTATTGATTCTGAGATATTTCAACATACCTTTGTGTTGCTAGTGATTTTACTCATACTTAGGTAATTTGGAGAATATTGTCACCTAAATATGTAAAAGATAAACATGTTTTCATTTTGAAATATTTTAATTACTTGTTATGGTGTACGAATGATATGTTCCTTCACAATGATTTGTCCTTTAAACGACAAATCATAGTAAAGGTATACATTATGACAATGGATCGTTTGACCTTTACACAACTAATCATATAATAAGTGTACATAATGACATTTGTTCTATAAATTATGCCGCCTTCACCATCGTTTAACCTTTACAGAATTAATTATATGGTAAGTACTTATTACTGTACTACTATATTACAGACACGTCTATATATACTCTCCACTTAAAGCTATAGCGTTCACAGACAATGACCCCGGGGCAGTACTCAGTAAACCAATGGTAACTATTTGTAAGGTGTTACGGCTGTGAGAATACAATGCTTCAGTGCTTTATCCGTCCCACAAACTTATAACGCGGCAATATATTGAATCGTTGTGACGGGTTTACCGTGATGGACCGCATAGAGAGATAAAAAAAATCGTGGCCACATGTGGGGACATTGTGGCGTCTGTTAAGGAAATATTATTGGTAGGGGGCGTTATAAAAGGACATCAATTATGTGACGGAGCCACACGCCACTGCCCCGGGTCACGAGTGAAGACACTTAGGGGATTTTTGGGACGTTTTAACAGGAAGTTCTAAATGTGACGGGACTACACACCGCTGTCACGGGTCACATGGGAAGACATTGTAAGGGGATTGATGGAATTTTAACGGTAAATCAATAATGGGGCTCCTTTATAAAACGGATTTCCGGTTTCAATTCTGCCAATCCTCTTACTATGTATCCCCATATGGCTCTGCCACACTGTCGCATTAGCTATGGCTTAGCTTGAACATGATAACAACGGCGAGACGGTACACAGTGTATGTAGCTTTCAAATTTCTGTTTTCTAGTTTGACTCTCATTATTGACAGCGTGATCTATTATGCGCAGTGCTTAAAACAGAGCCAGTGAACACTACCCAATTTATTTATTATTGATTACATGACCGGGAAATCTCTTTATTCCCTGACAAATTAGGGTCCAGCCACTTCTTACTGAAATTAAGAAGAACCGGAAGACGGTGGCTATGGGCGTTCTGGACTATGTCAACAGCGAGACGTTTGAATACCGATTTAATGAGGGCTACCTGACACGGTATGGATTCGACTGGAGACTGGTATTCTTCGAGACATTTTTCAGACAGGACCAAGTGGGGATAACAGAAGACGCACCACGCCCGTGAGTATAAGAATAGGACCACAAAAATATTCCCACGCTACTCTCCACACCAGTAGAAATTCCCAATATGGGCCACAGAAGGCTTGATCACGTAAGACATACGAAAAAAAAATAACATTAAGTATTTTTTTACAAAAGATACCCTCACCTGGTCATTCTGTATAGGACCACATACGCCTGCCACGCCAGGAAGTTCAGGACCTCGGATGACTTTCCTTGGCAAGGTTTTCATTTTATTCGCTGTCCATTTGGTTAGAGAGATTTCCTTTGGTCACTGCTGACACTGGAGAGAACAGGACCCTCCGAAATGATGCAGAGGAGGCTGCAGATTAGAGTCGGTCAGGTTCGTGTACCTCAGAGGAGGGCACACAAATTAGTCGCCTCTTCTAAACATGTAGTGGATGAAAGAAGGAATATGCTTTCACAACTGCAGGGGTGACAAGCAAGAACAAATCGTGTATTCTTCATATACATATACCTCAACAATTAGTTAATCTTGCTGTAAGCCTTCAGTTGTTGGATACCATAAAAAGTGATTGTAAACAAGAAAATAAACTATTCTAAAAGGAATCAAAGCAGTACTGCCCGTTATAACACCTTGATAGATATGGAGATCATGCGTACTGTAACTGACATGTCTTTAGTTTTGCTGTTCCATTGTATGTATCGTAATTGTGCATGGTCCTTTACAGGGGCGCTGTGATGGTAGGGGCAGCGTACGCCATCGATAGCAAATACTTCGGGGAGATAGGGTCTTATGACGAGGGAATGAAGGTGTGGGGAGGTGAAAATCTCGAGATGGCTTGGAGGGTAAGTACATGTACTGTTAGAAAATATTACGACCTTCTCCATAAATGTCACACTTCATACATGACTATGATTCTTTGATTCTATATGTTATCATATACATGCTTCTATGGTCTTTGATGTTGAACAACTTTACACTTCAGATAGTTTGATATGTAATACGCTTCTCACGTTCTGTTGCGTATCGTTCGAGACAAACATCCTCCGGATATAAGACCTCTGTCTCTATTCGGTGGCTTGTCCTCGACCTCAGGTGACTGAAGGTTTGCTTTGCTCTTGAATTTTCGTCAATACCTTTAGCAAATTATACACCATCTGCTTAGCAGTTGGCGTAACGTACTCACAATGTATGGCTATCGTCACTTTCGTTAGATAATGCAATAAGCTAAATACAAGCAAAACATTCATTAATGGACTGCTAGAAATGGTACGCCGTGGTAGTCCTATTGACTGCCTTTATTTGTATCCCAATTCTGAATGTTCCAGCAAAATATTACATTGAAATGATACATATTTAAAAAACTGTGATATTGGAGAGTGAAGGCATCAGATGTTTATGAATACAGTGCACTGTTTTATATACTGTGTACCGGGAAACTTTCGCCCAGTCAAATATTCGCCCTTTGCCGATAAAATTCAAGTTCGCCCAGTGTTTATTTCGTCATTCGCATCTAATAACTATATATTGCATGTCGTGTATAAATATTCCTTCTCATGTTAAATTCGCCCTCGTTGGGAAGGGTGAACAAGGCGAAAGTGGACCTGCAGCGAAAGTTTCCCGGTATACAATGATACGTTATAATATAACTATCCTGTAGACTGTTGTCACCTTTACAACATTGATCAATGCCTCCAGAGCGAAGATACGGAAATTGATTGATGGCGAGCGGTCTCGCTAGGTCCATTATGCATATACTTTCCTTATAGATAAACAACACTGTAGTGGTTGATATGTTGGGTGGTTGTAAAGGGTGTTACGTCCTATCAACTGCTAAGGTCATTTAAGGATGCTTCGGAATACGTAGTAAGTTCGACACTATAATGATATTTAATCAGTTCCAAGCTTGAGTGTCCCATGCATTTCGGGAAGTATTTCATTGAAGAGATGATACTCCCGTTACCTGGTACGCTGTAAGATACAATTTAGCTATCCCAGAATATAAAAAGGTCAACGTTACTTCATGTGGCGCTCACGTGATGTGGTTCATGTACCGACCTTATATGTGTAATAACGCTTCTTTGGTGAATGACAGTACAGGAATGTGTATACCTAGTTGCTCCTTTTTCGAATGACAAGATGAAAACTACATACATTTTCACGTACATGTACATACTACAGCAATCTAGACAAATCCAGTACACAACATACTTGAAATCATATTGCAAGATACGTCAGACTGTCAATTATGCAAGGTAGTTGAAAATTGAATGCATTTCTAATACAAATGTCTGTTATGAACAAAACAATGGTATCGATTTTTTTCTGAGTAGGAGAATTTTACTAATATTTGTTCTTAAATCTAAAGATCATATTGAAGACTTGTTTATTCATAAAACATTCAGTAGTTGAGAAGGGTGGACCTGCAATAAGTAATGTGTAATCTGCTTCATACGACATTGAATGTTCTAATGTTTGTGTTTGTTGATATTCTTTTGCCATCGAAGTACCACGTGATTTTGAATATGCAAACAAAATCAAATCTATCAAATAAAATAAAATATCTCCAACGAACAGAAGCTTGAAATTGTCAAAATATGTCTGCTTATAAAATAGAGACCGAACTTTAAAAAAAGCTGAAGGTTTATGTATAGAATGAAAGACATTTACATAGTGTTCAGAACTTATGATGAAATTTAATGGAGTCATATGCAAAATGTATGCTTGGTTGCTACAGTTGGTATTGTTGGCGTTTGGTGACTTTAACCTTGCCATCTGAATAATCATTTTAGAATAATCAAACATAATTCTGCTGCCTCAAATTCATATTGGCTGGTCAGATTATTTTAACTCTGCTGTGATTACGCGTACCATTACAATCTCACTGGTCTCCCTACGTTAGAGATAAACGCATTTATATTACCTTTAATGATAATGTAGAGATAAGAGTTTAAAATCTCTTGATATTTTAAAATGTTTTTAAATCATCAGAATCAACGGCACATGGTATTAGAGTATTAAGTCTGTAAAAACCTATTTTTGTTAGGTTTCGTTGTCTCGTTAGATGACTTTTAGGTAATCGTGTTTGTTAGTACCAGATGTTATAAGCATTGCTACAGTTGTTGTCTTTTACATGTAGTTTTTTATCTTCAGAAAATGAGGGGACCACTCTGAAAAAGATGACAACTAATATGTGTGCTTAGTACTAGTACTAAGTAAGGTTGGGGTCACCTGCCCGATCACGTGGGTTTTCTCCGGGTACTCCGGTTTCCTCCCCACATTAAGATCCCCAAGCGCTAACATCCGGGCCAACAATAAAACAATAAGTTGAAATATCTTGTTTCATAATTGTTACATGTGCCTGATCATGTGTACCTGTATTGATAGGCCTTTAATACGTCTCAATCGGTCAATATATCAACTTATACAACACTAGCCTTTTATCAATGCCTTTATATAACCAATCGATCGGATGGTTAGCGAGTTCACGATAAGGGTATATTATCATGTACTGAATATTATATATCATCTAGCTGAATGCGGAGGGAAGACGTGTTTTATGGAGTGTTACGGGACAACATACTAGGGTATCTGGGCACACCAAGCTACGCTACTGTCCAGCTATGAAAACAGCAACGTCGTGATCAAACACAAGATATTACCCCGTAGACACAGACTGCTGTGGAAAGTTACTGTTTTGTTTGGTTGATATTACAAAATTCCAAACTGTTAGATTAGGAAATTCAGGGAAAAAGTAATATATAAACACCTGTCATGCTTAAAATTAAATTGCTATAATGGAATATGTTCCGTTCACACTATTTACATTTACATGCATACTTCGTGCAGTAAATTACTCAATATTGCGCGAAATATATTTTCGCATAACTTCTCAAAAGAGTGTCAATCGTTAAGTCAAATTTGTTACAAATATTTCGACGTTTCAAAACGATTCCAGTAAGGGCTATATGGATTCGACTTTTTTTGCGTAATACAGATCCACTTGCCAATACTTGAAGAATCCCGACACAAATTATTCGCGCAAAATGTGATTAAATGTTACGTGAAAGATAAGTATTACCTAGTAGTTGTTTAAATAGCGTGAGAGATATGAATACATTGCTAGTAGTTACAATAACGAGATTGAGATATTAGCGGTATCTACTACATGTTTGAGAGATCGTGCGAGCTATCCGCACTACTCGCTCGGATCTATTAACACTACTCCATAGAACGTATTCCCTTAAAAAATAAAAAGTAAAATATGAACGGTCTCATTGTATTTAAACGAAAACATTTAAATCCTTCCATAAAGTTCATTATGCAGAACCATTGTTCCGTAATGTGCATCACATAGGGACCGCCATATAGAACGCGCTATATATTCCTTTATGTATTATACATGATAAAGGTCTGATACACACACATACACACAACCATAACTGTACTAACTGGTACAATGCTCACGGGGACATTAAGGCTGCGTTATCATGAACATTTCTGTAAAACATGAATTACATGTACACATATCTAATTCATGAGTACTGGAATATGGCACATGCTATATTAGTCATTTCAGACACCTTTACAAATATAGTTGTTAGGTGATATTTCAATAATCGGAAGCTGAGCAACATTTCATTAACAACTTCAGTTAAATTATATAGAAAAACGCTCCGTTTCACATCAAGTGCAGTCTCCGATTTTGGAGACCCACATAAAACCTAATCGAGACTTTACTTAAGCAATGGATGATTTAGCAAATGTTGTTATGGTCCTATATATAACACACATTGCTATTGATATTAACAAACTTAGTAATGCCCGGTAGGGATTTATGTAAGTTTGTCACCAATAGAAATGTGTAGGCTTTATTAAGTTTGTCATTAAAAGCAATGTGTGTTATAGGACCATAACATTATTTTCTAAAATATTCATTATTTATATTTACATTTTGATGGAGTAGTTATGCTTTATTTAGTTATTTCCGTCAATTCTTCAAATAGCAAAATAATTGAAAAAAAAAAATGAAATTGAAGACGTCAACCAAGAGATTGATGACGTTACAATAGCAAAGTTAATGTTTTACAGTCTCACAACAACATTTGCCTTCTCAGTGCATTCCAAATTGAAGGATGCAGAGCAAATGTAAATATTGCAGAATAAAGTCGATCCCTGTGTATTTTTGAAGGTTATTTTACAAATAGCAACGCCCAACATTAACAAAGCATTCTATAAAACGCCAATGTATTTTCCACTCTCGTTGAAAGACAAGAGTTTGAGTAGAACATACACGGGAACGAAGCATACACAAATAAATAATTTACTTTATCGACGGCAAGCTAACACAACGAGGGGAATCGTATAGTTCGTCAACAAATAACAAATAACAATAAAGATTACCGATAGTTAATATTTAAAAAACACCGTAAGTGTCAATCACAAACAGAGTTTTCGATTATCGTTAATAAGGAAATCATGATGAACCACATAAGACAAAATGAAAATATAACAAAAACGATCGCAGAGGTAACACGAGCCCCTTCCATAACCCATAGCTTGATACCTGTCATTCATACTAACCATCAGCGCCAGGAACACTCTGACAGTGACACATACATCTTCATGTGACAGAGGACAAACTTCTGTTAATGTACACGTTGGTCATTTTGAAGACATTCACAATATAGATGTTTCCTTGCCAGACTACATGTACATGTTGTGCGACACGGTCAGTTTAAGGTTTGTAAGGCATTGTATTACAAGGTAACAAAGTAATCCTCCAAGTGTCATATTACCATGAATATAGCACCAAATAACATTGGTTGCAATCAATTAAGGGTCTTCAATCTGATTCATACTTTCCTTTTATAATTTGCTTTTATGTTGAGCGTAAGCTTTTGATTATGATCATGCAACTTCAGTTGAATGCCTACTTTTCTGTCTAGCTGAAGTATAGATACATACACAAGCTTTGAGAATTTGTAATGAACTCCCGTCTGTTTTGTTTGCTGTTGTTCCAACAATAAGTTCGGGGTTCTTTATTCACCATTACCCATCTGGTAGTGATGTATGCATGTTGTGTTGATGCTTCATTCATCATGTTCTTAACGTAATTTACATTAGTTGCACCTGTAATTTTGAGAAACATTATATCATTTTGGCATAAAGGAGTTGGACGTGCAGGTAGATCCAGTATTCATTTATATTCCTACTTCCTTGAATGGAGGATTCTCTTCTTGTGTTCTCCACTGTCGTCAGGTTTGGTAGACGATGAGGCATCTGACGTTATTTTTTAATTATTTCGGATGAATTATGTTACACACACTGATAAAATGAGTTCATGTTGTACGGAGAAAGGCTAACACACTGATCAAATGATGTAATATTGTATGGAGGGAGGCTAACACACCGATCAAATGATGTTATGTTGTACGGAGGGAGGCTAACACACTGATCAAAATATGTTATGTTTTACGGAGGGAGGCTAACACACCGATCAAATGATGTTATGTTGTACGGAGGGAGGCTAACCCACTGATCAAATGATGTTATGTTGTACGCAGGGAGGCTAACCCACTGATCAAAATGTGTTATGTTGTATGGAGGGAGGCTAACACACCGATCAAATGATGTAATATTGTATGGAGGGAGGCTAACACACCGATCAAATGATGTAATATTGTATGGAGGGAGGCTAACCCACTGATCAAATGATGTTATGTTGTATGGAGGGAGGCTAACACACCGATCAAATGATGTTATGTTGTACGGAGGGAGGCTAACACACTTATCAAATGATGTTATGTTTTACGGAGGGAGGCTAACCCACTGATCAAAATATGTTATGTTGTACGGAGGGAGGCTAACACACTGATCAAAATATGATATGTTTTACGGAGGGAGGCTAACGCACTAATCAAATGATGTTATGTTGTACGGAGGGAGGCTAGCACACTGATCAAGTGATGTTATGTTGTACGGAGGGAGGCTAACACACTGATCAAAATATGATATGTTTTACGAAGGGAGGCTAACGCACTGATCAAATGATGTTATGTTGTACGGAGGGAGGCTAACACACTGATCAAGTGATGTTATGTTGTACGGAGGGAGGCTAACCCACTGATCAAAATATGCTTTGTTGTACGGAGGGAGGCTAACACACTGATCAAATGATGTAATATTGTATGGAGGGAGGCTAACACACTGATCAAATGACGTTATGTTGTATGGAGGGAGGCAAACCCACTGATCAAATGATGTCATGCTGTACGGAGGGAGGCTAACCCACTGATCAAAATATGTTATGTTGTATGGAGGGAGATTAACACACTGATCAAATGATGTAATATTGTATGGAGGGAGGCAAACCCACTGATCAAATGATGTCATGTTGTACGGAGGGAGGCTAACCCACTGATCAAAATATGTTATGTTGTATGGAGGGAGATTAACACACTGATCAAATGATGTAATATTGTATGGAGGGAGGCTAACCCACTTATCAAATGATGTTATGTTGTATAGAGGGAGGCTAACCCACTGATCAAAATATGTTATGTTGTACGGAGGGAGGCTAACACACTTATCAAATGATCTGATGTTGTACGGAGGGAGGCTAACCCACTGATCAAATGATCTGTTATTTATTTTCCCGTTAGGTTTGGATGTGCGGAGGAAGGTTAATACACCTCCCCTGTTCACACCTTGGACACATCGCCCGTACCCAGCCGTATAGTTTCCCCGGGGGTCGTCACCACATTGAGGTGTATAACTACAGACGGGCAGTGGAAGTGTGGATGGATCCCCAACATAAGAACTTCATCTATGATCACTTTCCAGATATGAAGGTAACTGTATGACCGTAATGTAATTTACCTTTCACCATTGTGAGGAGTGTTTTCGTTCTAAATGCAAATAATTGATGATGAATATGACACTGTTTATGATGATGATCGTAAACTTGATTAAATCAATTGATTTTAAAGATAGGATGACGTATTTCATTTCAAAAGGCTTTGCTTTGATAAAAACAATCGAAAAGCTCACAGGACCGTGGTAAAAAATCATCAGTAGCCTGCAATTGTTTAATACCCATGCAGTTATATTTGTCGATGCGTGGGCTGAATACATGTAATGTTGTGTAAAGCCCTTGTATGTTTCATTGAGAGGGCTACTCAAACAGTTATTTTTTTTTATTAATCCTATAAAGTAAATTAAGTAACAAGATCGCTTTAGTTGATTGTTTGTTATTTTAATGAGATGTACATTAAGCGTAAGTTAACAATGGGTAGCTCCGTGAGTTAACCACACCAACTTTAGTTGAATAAGTCATCTATTCATGAGTTTGTCACATAACGTTTATGGTAAATGTTGACAAACCTTTGCTGTGGCTTAAAAACAATGGCGCTGGAATGGGTTTTAATTGATAAATGTGGTCATATTTCCGTACTAATTATTTCCAATTATGTCTCGCTGTTTATATATTATCCCAAAAATCATCAAGATCAAGTTACGTTTATCATTGACATGTGATACTTTTCTATACCATGGTAATTATTTCGAATAAACACCGTCACCTTGCTGTTTCGTCCAGCAGAAAAAAATAACAATTGTACTTTCATTACTCATGAAGCTAGGTACAGTGTTATCTTATTTAACTTAAGCAGGAAGGATTATGTATTTTGTAATAAGTTGTATTCAATGTGGTAATTCGCATAAAAAGCATTTAAGACATTTTGCATTTGAAAATAAAGGTTATGATTAATTGGGTCAAGGATTCGAGTGGGAAATCGACCCCCATTAGCACAAAGCTAGACTGCCTCTGGCTATTAATGTCGGTCTACGGTCATATATCACCGTACTGTATACAGTATATCGTCAGAGAACCTACCAGACCATGAACAGCAGAAAGCTTATTTGTGCCTAGGTGCTTTGGTATGCATGTATATAATTCATGTGCTGATGTGTATCATTATTACGGTTTAATGACAGTGTATGGACATTCATCGTCCTACAATAATGTATTTTAGTTTATTGTTATATAACGTCTGAAACTGGATGGAGCTATTGATTAGGTATTAAATTGTGCTTACACTGATGAAAATGCACAAAAATAATTACGTCAATGGGCTATGAATTGAGAATAGTTCGAAAGGCCTTTTACATGTATCGGTCGACTTGTCAGTGTCGGTTAGCTTAGCCACTTACGTTTCTTTGTTAAAATTTAAACTCTAGTACTTTGGATTTAATTGGTTTATATTAAAATGCTAATATTATACAATAGATAAATATACATAAAATATTTCTGAGTGGAAGTTTCATACTTTCAATAAATTGGCAAGCAACACGGGGTGTTCCCTGAACGCATACATCTTTAGGACAAAAGGTAGAAACAGCAAAGGGAGGCTAATTATAGTTTGTATCATATATGTACTATATTTAACCGATATATTTTACCTGTATATCACATCAGTGTGAAAGAAAACTAAGACATTAATATCAAGTTCAATGTTTTTATTCCATAAATCCATACTTAAAACCAATATGTTATTTGCAAGCAACACAGCTAACCAGGCCTGAGCTAGTTGTATGCTCTCATCGAAATTCGACAAGTTTACCACACGTACGCACCAGTCGTATGCTGTCATTGTCCTGTACTGGGAACAATGAATGGTGTAGTGCAGCTCAACTGATAGTATTAACACCTTTAAATAGGCAAATATGATAGTCCATAAAATACAAAAAGGGACGTAAAATCACCTTACATGAGTTTTGCCGGAGATAAAACTGATTTGAATTTTTTAACTGGTATGCCCTTTTCACCTCATGCAATATTCAGAGTGACTGTTTATCAAATATATACTTGTCCTTATTGCACGACATCAACTGCAATCAAACTTTTGATGTGTTTGATTTCAATCTTGCTATTGTGCTTTGTACAATTTCCAATATATCATAAAAACGTAAACAGAGGGTATAAAAGATATGCCCTATGATAAAAGTAATATGTCCTTCGGGATATGACTCGTTTTGCTGTCATTGTTTTTCTCTAAATATATATAATGACTTATTGCGTTGTTTTTCCTCGATTGTGAAAGAGCGTTCATGTATGAATTCTGTTTCAAGTTTTGTTATTGATGATGGTAAACTATATTGGTTAATATCATCAATAACATTCGGGGGGTACTGACCTGTAGTACACAACAGACCGTGTCTCCTGTACACATATACGCATGTCTGCATACACAACATACCGTGTCTCCTGTACCCATATACGCATATCTGCATACACAACATCCCGTGTCTCCTGTACACATATACGCATGTCTGCATGCACAACAGGCCGTGTCTCCTGTACACATATACGCATGTCTTCATACACAACATACCGTGTCTCCTGTACCCATATACGCATATCTGCATACACAACATACCGGGTCTCCTGTAGACATATAACCATGTCTGCATACACAACATCCCGTGTCTCCTGTACACATAGAACCATGTCTGCATACACAACATACCGAGTCTCCTGTACACATATACGCATGTCTGCATACACAAGATACCGTGTCTCCTGTACACATATACCCATGTCTGCATACACAACATACATAGAGGAGAATTGTCCTTAAATGGCCCTAGTGTTGTTAATAGGACGTCAAACAAAATAAAACCAAACCAAACATAAGGAGGGTCCTGGCCTGTACTAGGTCGCCTTACTGCGGTAGTGTCACCAATCTCCATCCTACACCCCCCAGAACCGAACAAGGCCACCAATGATGGATGATCTTTTTACTGCACCTTATGATAATTTGTTCTCCCGGGAGCAGCATTACACTGAGAACACAGCATTAGAGGACTTTAAGGCACACATTTGTAATTTTGCCTTTTGTAATTTTATATCCACACCATCAACACTTACCTGCTTTTATTTTTAATTTTTAATTTCGTTTTCCACTAAAAACACAATAAAGCAAAACAAAACGTTTCACAGTCGGTGTCACACATATCTACACAATTAAAAGGCAAACTTGAACTTAATCGTGGAAATGCTCCATAAAAGAAAATGTATAAAAGAAATTTAAATATCCTGCAAATATTTATTTACAAATATTTAAGAAATATGGGTAACATTGTTCAGCATTTCGCGAATTTTCATTATCTCGTATTGTACATTCGAAGCTCAGTCATGAGAAAATAACTATTTGCCAAAATGAAGTGATTGACAGTATATTCAAAGCTGCAATTTATGAAGTTTACATATGCGTCATTTACATAATAAAAGGACAAAAATGCTAAGATATGGCTGAGCGATATGTCTTTCTATTTTAGAATAGGATGTACAATCAAGTCTAGCCCGAGTTTCATCTGGCCTCGACACCAGACTTAGACATTTCGACAGATATATGTCTGGTATCCCACACCAGACATATATCGGTCAAAATGTCTAAGTCTGGTGTCAGGTATTGAGGAAACTCGGGCTAAATCAAGTCAAACATAAGTTTGCAAGTATATTCTTTAAAAAAAAAAAGTGAAAATATCACATTGTTTTATTTATTCTATTATTTTCAGACTATGGATTCCGGTGACATTACAGAAAGACTGAAGTTAAAAGAAAGACTACATTGTAAAAATTTTACCTGGTATATGGAGAATATATGGCCAGAACTGGCCGTGTTTGACCGCAACACGTTTGCCTGGGGATCTGTAAGTACTGCGATAATGGGAATCGCCATTATTGCTTGATACATTGATGTATACACTAATATACCTGATAATGATCATGGTAAATTGTCGGCAGTGCCATCCATATGTATTTAATTGTATGTTATCAAAGGGTTCCTCTTTGCATCCCAACAAAGGCAGCAGGCTAAATTTCAAGTACATTACACGTAAACATAATTTTCTGGTTGATCAATTTTGTGTCCTTGGGACCCTTTAAACTTTGAAAAGCTGCCGAGTAAGCTAATGATGACTCGTCTGTACAGACACCATCATTGAATTAAATACGTTAAACTTACACTTTAAAATTTTTGATATTACAGATGAAAAATTTCCCGACACGTATCATTAACATTATAATGAGTAATACTCATTGTCGTAAGTAACAAGCACCTTACACATGGAATTTTATCTGATGACTAACAAATAAGTTCATATAAATTTTAATAACTTTGCTAAGCTAATGGAAGTTAATTAAACTTAAGTCAGGTTTATATACCGTCAATGCTTCCTTTAATTAACAAACAAATACAGTGTACTCTTTGTTATGGTCGACCAAAATGCATCGTTGGTCGTATTTGCGTTTTGAGGCGCAAGTGATCAAGTGATTAATCTGACGTTTAAATAGTTTGATTTACAGAGTGCTTTATCAACATGAAGTAAAATGTCATTTAACTTGTGTGACGGACAGGTACATGATGGTACAATGTATCCAACCTAAAAAACGTTGACAATTTAAAAGTTCTACACATAATTTCTTAGCACTACATTAGTCTATAACGTGACTCAGCAATACATATAATTACATGTTGGACTCTTCATTGCCATTTAATGTTTCTTTTAAAATAATTGAACAGAGACTGATAGATACTTCCAAACAAAGCATATTGTCAAAAGTAACGGCTTCTCATAAAGGGTTTTTATATCAACACTTAATAGATAGTCATTGTATTCAATTTTATTTAAGTAAACCTATTGAAAATAAATACAAACAAATGTTAACTTAATTTAGGATATCGTCTCATAAATTAAATATGGAAATTGGAAGACATCATAACGTCACACGCAGAAACAGGATTTGTAACAAACGTAATTTGAGAGATATAGAAGACGCGTTTCATTTTATTTAGATTTTTCCATTTTATAACAACATCAGGCACATATTAATCAAACAATATTATAACAAAAAACCTTCGATTTTTAAACGATACAACTACTTAGTATAAATAATGTTAGAGAGCTAACCAATTTAGGAAAATATTTATATTTAGCATTTAAGAGGCGTTAATTTAAGGTGTATGTATTGTGGTGTTTCATAACTGTTATGTGTTAATTACGTGTTGTTATATGCACAATATTGAACGGTGTTTTATGTATACTGTGATGTCACTTTCCTGTCTATTTATGTTTAGAGAATGTTATATGCATATATGTATGTACATATATGGCCTAAGAGCTTTTGACTAATAAAGTACTAGAACTAGAACATATATATAAAACATGATTTATCTGTAACGTGATTTAGTCTGTTACACGATTTAGTCTGTAACACAATTTAGTAATACTTCAATATATAGCCAGATTCAGCACAGCTATTTTTATGACATTACATGTATAACAAAACCATACATTGTACTTACATAACATGATGTAGACTACTATATAACGACAATGTAGCAGTGCATCTATTCATAAAGCATTTCACATATCTTTAGCATGATCAGCACTGCTAACATACAAGTACATATATACTGTGCGTATATATACTGTACGTAAAAACATAGTTCAGTATAACATACATATACACTGTACATATAAACATAGTTGAGTATAACATAATTATATACTGTACATATAAACATAGTTCAGTATAACATACATTTATACTGTACGTATAAACATAGTTCAATATAACATACATATACACTGTACGTATAAACATAGTTCAGTATAACATAATATATACTGTACGTATAAACATAGTTTAGTATAACATACATATACACTGTACATATAAACATAGTTTAGTATAACATACATATATACTGTACATATAAACATAGTTGAGTATAACATAATAATATACTGTACGTATAAACATAGTTCAGTATAACATACATATGCACTGTACGTATAAACATAGTTTAATATAACATACATATACACTGTACATATACACATAGTTCAGTATAACATACATTTATACTGTACGTATAAACATAGTTTAGTATAACATACATATAAACTGTACATATACACATAGTTCAGTTTTACATACAAATATACTGTACGTATACACATAGTTCAGTATAACATACATATACACTGTACGTATACACATAGTAACATACATTTTCAGCTTTGTTATGACTACATCTATATATAACAAGCAAAGACGCAGTAATGTTAGTTTAAACAATATTTATTGAAGAATAAGGTAGAACAATACATCAAAAGTATGCTGGAAGATTTGATAGCAAGCTTGGAGCTTATGTAAAGCCATCTCCTAGTTAGTGATGGGCATAGATATATAAAGTGGAGTGGTCGTGGTTATATAGATCAAGGTCGCAGGAATTTTGTGTTTGTGTTTGTCGATAGCATATTAGCAATTAAGCCCACGCTTAACCTTTTTTTTTAATTACGTAAAACGTTTTAATTGTAGGCCAGGAACCTTCAAGACAACCGGTGTCTAGACAATCATCAATACTTGTTCCAGGCTCCGGACAATTTATTTGCAGAAGAATGTCATCATCATCTAGCCTCACAGGTTAGCTAACGTGTCTGTTGAGGCGTCATTGCAGGGACGCGTATTTGTCACGTGAAGCAATTAGGATGCTACCGTATGAAATAGATATAGTGCCCTCAAATCTAAACAGAACAAAACATCTTGCACTTGACGAAAATATATCCTAAATTTCAACATTTGTTAATAAAAGTATAAAGTTAATAAATAGCTGGGGAAAATGAGCAATTTATTTTGAAGTGTTAAACTTTTTCTGTCGCTTGGATTGTGAAGCAATACGTAAACAGCTAACGATGCGTTGCGTATGTTTTCTTGGAGTTGTTTTTCATAATTCAAAATTGATTTGTTATCGAATCAGTTTCCGTTAGTGCCCGTGTGTGTTCCGGGACTGTCAGTCCGGCACAAGAGGCTGATCTGAATTGCACGACAGTAGCCTTGTGTTGAGGCACAATTTAGACTTTTCTTTGAACGCGTTCATAAGGAGTTTGCACTGATAGCCAGAGAGAGGATTTAAGGACAGGTGTTATATGATATTCCGTGCTCGTGCCTTTGTCTGCAGGCGTCTGATTTCAAGAATAGATGAAAACAACCGATATTGCTGATTTTTAAATACCACGAATTAGATGCTGAAATCAATTGTTATTTTTCTTGTGTTTTTGGGGTCAAGACAGTGTTGAAGTTACTCACATATGGAACACCATTTATGACACTGATATCAACTCTTAACCGGGAATGAGCTTTCTTCTTTTATAACAAAATCAGTTTTTGTCACGGTTCAGTTTTTACATACTGAAGCACAAACCTGATGTTTTCACGGTTTAGTTTTTACATACTGAAGCCAAACCAGACGCTGATGCCGAACAAGCACGCCTCCAATCGAGATTAGGAGACTTGTGCACTTGGGTATCATCAGCATAACGAAATGAAAACTTGTGTCTGCAAAAATGGTCTCCGATTTGCACGAGTGGAGAACACTACTTTCTTAATCTTAAGATTTGTCCTTGCTGAACACTAACGTTAAGAGTTCTGTCACCAGAGACAACCTTTCCTAATGCCACACATTGCTTCCTGCCAAATAGGACTGAACCAAGGAATGTGCGTCAACAAGTATAACTGATGGACAATAATTTGACAATAATGTTTTTTAGATAATATCAAATTTTATCAGATAGGTCAGAACAAGTAGTTTCAGAATTGCTGAACAGTTTGTTGTTTATAGCCGCAGTAGTGTCATCAAACAATCTCAGAAGGTCAGTCTGTCTCTGTTGATTGGCAGTAAGCATATTGTAAGTTGTGAAGAAAATTGTCATCACGATATTTCGCAGATCGCTTGCCCTCCACAGCATTTTAGACAAGAAGGATATATGTCCTTAGAGCAGGGGACTATATATGTCTTGCACAATATCATAAGAGTGTGTTACATGTATCCGCAATGCAATGTCTTTCTCGAACTGTGCATGAATAGTCTAGATCGAAGTATCAAGCTAAATGAAGTTTGCAATTTAACTACAATTTGATAAGACCCCTTAACAGGTTCACGCTATTCTTTTGCCAAAAAATCGATATCATTTGAAGTTATGATATCCGTTCACAAAAACGATAAGTGATCGTGAAAATAATCAGAATAAAAGATTTTCTCAAGACTAACAGTATTGACACCAGGTTCGTCAAACTCACAACTGTCTTTTATGTTGATTGATGCGAGGTTTACACATACGAGATGGTACATTGTGTATGGTACTGACATCAGATTGACCCGACATAGAGTTGACGTAGCGAGGCCATGTTGGGGCCCCAGTGCTACCAAAGGCGTGGGTTCGCACCATGCTATATGCGTCGGAATTTACATGGCTTTAACAAGCTGTAGTTGCATATATTTTCGGTCTACATATGCGTCTACCTGCCTTCTAGTGCACGACTGGGGCTAACTTCTCCATAAATAAAGTTTTTAATAGCAATCTTGTACATCTTAGCACACGATTAGGAATATTAGACACCTGTTGTAGGTAAAGGTCATGTTCATGCTAGAAATACTGTATAAAATGTGAGGGTATTGTAGTCTGATCAGCAGTAACACATATATTCATCATTCGATTTGACCAATGTATGAATACTACAACACAGTATAAATGGTACGGGGATCGGAGATACAAAGAGATAAGCAGATTTGTGTTCATAAGATCTCAAACTTTTTCATCATAGACATTATGACGATCGTAGTGTCGAGTTGTCCGACCCTGTGTATATCTCAGTATGATATGTAGCTGTAATTGTCACATTGGTTATTCGATCGAACGTAAAATAAACCGCATACCAACTCGCCGAAAAAAAAAAAGAGAAAACTTCAAAAATTAAAAAAAAATAAACTATTCAGTTATGGTCATAAATAGCTTAAAAATCACAAATTGGTCTTTATTTGTATTACATGTCCACGCCAGCATTTTAGGGAGAGCAGACACTTGTAGTTTGCCATATAAAAAGTTCAAACGTATGATTGGGGGCAGCCTTATAATTAGAAGATTCTCAAAGAGAATAATTTGTCACAAAATTCATATCGATCTAGTGAGTTGATTCTTAAGTCTAACCTGAAGATCTTGCACTTTTGGTGTTTAACTTAGCTACGGTTGGAGTTAAATGCTCTTATACGATGCTATTTGTTTATGTATCATTTACCTCTCTGCTTATTCCATAATTTATTGGAATACGTCTTTCTCTACTGCCTCCTGCATGCACTGGCATCATTACAGACTTTAAAATTGTTTCCGTTACATTTAACTCACAGAGATAGAAAAGTTTACCATTTCTATTAACACAGCGGTGCGGTCGGAAACGTTTGTCTGTAAATGTTAAATTTGCAGTTTAGACTTTTCATAGACATACGTGTTGTTGCAAACCCAAACCCCCCAATCATAGGTGTTGCATCTAAGTACGAAAAATATCAAATATGTTTCTTCGAATGGATTCGATTCATAGTAATTTTCAATGAACTCAATGTCAGAATTCGTTCTGCTTTACACTTTTTCGTTGCATCATTTTAGCATCATTATGCATTGCAGGTGATTCATGGCAATTTTCTATGAACTCAGGCACAGTGTCAGAATTGTTTTAGCTTGATATCCTTTTCGTAGCAATATTTTAACTTCATTATGCGTTGCAGGTGTATGTTTGATGTTTCATTATCCACGATTTGTTTTACAGGGGTTTTCCTGGAGACAAGACAAACTACTACAGACCTCTTTGCAATGTGTGGTACTTAAACAGATGTTTGACGGAGCACGGCCTATGCTTGAAGACTGTATTATAGGACCCCGGGACACCTGGCTACACGAGAAGGTAGGCAGCAAGCTACGTCATCAACATATTTGGAGTTTAAGTTGACGTTTCTGTTTTGATTTTGACGAATAAACGTGACATTTAAAATGTAAAGGAGCAAAAAAAAAGAGCATGTAACATCACACCGTTCATAAACAAATAGCATTTTATGTCAATGGTGTATTAACCCGTGGCTACGTAATGAATATATTTTGTTTACATAAATGTGATTTATTATGAATATTTTAACGTGTTAGCCTATAATATTTTTGATATAGTACACATTTAATTAGATATCCGATAATTAATGTTGTGGTTTTCGCCGCTTAATTAATTAAACTGCATGAATAATCTAGGTCGAAGTATCAAGCGACTTTCGGTATTTGATATTTTATAAAACTGGCCCAGATGATTTGATATAGCTACCATTGTGTTCGTTTTTTCAGAATGGTTTTATAAAACACGAAAAGAGTGGCTTGTGTCTCGATATGGATGGATCGGGGCCAGTAATGAGGACATGTCAGCCAGCCGCAATATCTCAAAAATGGCAGTTCAACAAGTACAATTATTAACCCCGTCCAGCATAATCAACCTCGAATACTATCGTTGTGAAACATAGCCAGTACTGGTTCAAAGTGCGTCTTAAAAGTATTAATGTACGTTAATATTCTTATAGTGATATATTTCAATTACGCTATATTACACGTCCATTACAGATAAGTCGCTCAGATTGTATGAAATACAAGTGATGTTCAAGACGAGTTGAAAAGGTTACGAAAGTTGTATAACTTAAATTAATGGTCTGTTTAAAGTTTTTAAATGAGCAACCGAAACAGGTAGTGTTCCAGATGCAGATGCTGGGTAATTTTCTTTGCGTTTTGGAACCTGCCACAGGAGAAGTTGATATGTTCTTATTTACATATATTGAAAAAAAGTAATTATGGCAGGTATAGTTTTATTGATGTTTTTTTAAAAGCATTGCGGTATTTACCTGAAAATGTAACGATGTGAAGCACTCCTTATTCTGTGTTAGAAATTGTAGAATAAGGTAAACTAATTATGCACATGGCTTTCGATCGTAAATTGTGGTTTGGATTGAACAATAATGTACCTCCTCTATAGCTCTTTGATCAGGGATGTTATGTAACGTCAATCGTCTGAGAGATCGCTTGTTATTTACTGTGGGGATAAACAATTGAAAAATAATTAAGTTTTAAATAACAATTAAGATAATAAATCATAACGCATTGTTACAGCTTCTTATTTTACCATTGACGGCATGGATTACTATGTAAAATATGTTGACCTTGTTCTATGAATTGTAAGGTTTTAAGCAAGTACAGATGATGATTAATGATTTTTTTTAAAATTTTGATTGCTGAGTGGTGTTTTGTGTGCGATCTATTTTTTTGTGATTTTTTGCCCCGAATGTCATCATAGTGCAAGCTGACATTTATATACTGCACTGCCTATATCCCATATGTCGCGTATGTTACGGAAGTAAGTTTTGAGGAGGGTAGATATAATACAATATTCTCGATTCGTTATAAAGTGTAATCTTGATTACATGTATGTTTTATCATCTGACATCATATCATCATACCTTTTGTTTGTAAAATAAATCAGATTTAACTGATTTTTTATTTTTTTATTATACAAGACCAGTTTTCCGGTCAGCTATTCATATTCACTCTAAGAGGGAAATATTCTAATGTGTAACTCCGAGACAAGATTGATCTAAAGGAAATATGCCATAGCAGGTATTTATAACACAGAGATGTTTCATAATTGGTATTTTATTAAACAGAAATGTCCCATTACATAAATGTTTGAAACAGAAAAATAAAAATATGTTAGTTTATATATGCACATCAGTTCTTAGACAATACAAAGGTAGCGCGTGGATGGATGAAATGTGATCATGCAAGGAACACAATTGGGCGCGACAGAAGAGGGAGATCATATTTTGATGTCACGTGATTTACCCAGTCTAGTCAGATACGCAGTTTAGTGCCATTTACAAAATGTATATATGTAGTTACTTATCTAAAACTATTAACAAAATAAACCACACAACATCACTGACAAAAGTCATGATTCGTTTATCCGGACATCGTGTAATCCAAACATTTTGTCATGCTTCCCGATTAACGAGTTTCGAATATATATATAGTTGAGGTAAAGCAGTGTTTTGGTGATAAGAATATTATATTTTTCTTGATATAAGATATCAAATTGTAATAAACACTTACAGTATTATTATCGATATGAGCATCTGTCATTAATATAAACTTTATTTCATTCCAAATTAAGTTGCATTACATCACATAACATACAAAGTACAGAGGAATGGGATCCGGAAACAAGTTGAAATAACTTATATAAATCCGTTTCCGAATCTGTCATTAAATGCGTCTTGATAAATCACTTAGTAAATAGTTTATATATTTTATAAATGAAGCAAATATTGTTATCATCATAGGAAAATAGATTATATTGATAAATAAACTGGACATTTTATATAATTTAAAAGGAAGTTCCCAGGGTTTATGTTCCTTAAACATGTAAGTGTTATCCTGCCATTAACTGCTTTGTTAACCTTTTAAAAACTTCCCTTTAGTAAGATAACTACATCCCGTTAGCAATGGCTTACATGTGGCCTAGGTGACCTGGGTGATCTGTTAACTCTTCTTTATTTATTTTTTACTACAAACTTAATTAAGGAATATTATCATGTTATGCTCCTGTCGTTAATCACCTTTATATATGAATATTTTAGAATGCTTAATTATGCATAATGAATGTATTATGTCATTTTTGACCTTGTGTTTTTTGTGAACGGCTTATTTTGCTTCGGGATAGTGGTGAATCATTTATAACGGTTTTAATTAAACCAACGAATCATAATACTACAGGCAAGTTATGTTAAGGTAGCTCATTGGTCATCCCCGTACGTGTGTGGAAGTTGCTTGTCGGATATATCACAGTGCGCATGCGTTATTATACATACGAGGAAGTAGCTGGGCTAAATGCATTGTATGTCATTGTGTTACATTTGTCATCATATATACATTTTATGTCATTGTGTTACATTTGTCATCATTTATAAATTGTATGTCATTGTGTTACATTTGTCATCATTTATACATTGTATCTCATTGTGTTACATTTGTCATCATACACACATTGTATGTCATTGTGTTACATTTGTCATCATACATACGGGGAATTGCTGGGCTAGATGGCGTTTTATGCCATTATGTTCATATGCCATCATATATACATTGTGTGCCATCATATATACATTGTATGTCATTGTGTTACATTTGTCATCATACATACGGGGAATTGTTGGGCTAGATGGCGTTGTTTGCCATTATGTTCATATGCCATCATATATACATTGTATGTCATTATGTTCATATGTGGAAGTTCTCTTTGTAAGGTATGACATCATGTTCATTGATCACCATACATACGTATACAGTCGTAGTGTGGATATGTAATGTTTGCTATTTGCTGCAACTCATGCAATGTACATGTAGGAGGAGGTTACTCGGTCAGACCCAGTGTATGTCATTATGTTCATTTGTCATCATATATGAATTGTTTATGAGTGTTCCTTTGGTAGGGTATGACAGTGTTCATTGATCATCATACATACGAGTACAGTTGCTGTTTGGATATGTCATTCCGCCCTTTTGCCATCATGCATATGTACAAGTTCGCATGGTTATTGTGCCATATCATCCCATTTATGACAGACATCCATATTTTCGTATGTAACCTAGAATTAAGAGTGTAGTAAGGGATCGCTCTATCTATTAATGCTAAACCATGTTTTTCATAGATTTGCTCTGGCTTCATGGGGTCTGTATAGTCTTTGGTAGTACCATTTACAACAACATGACATATAAACACATTTCAGCATTGGGATTTCTTTTTTGTCTTTATACTGTTTATTTTTGTGGACGAGAAGAAATTTTGAGTCCAAACAAAAGTGCACAGATAGGATGTGCTGTAAAATCATTTGCGCGTTATATCCACTATTCGAAATCAAGGATTTTTGATTATTTATTACAGACTCAAATCTATGAAAACATGTTTTAAACACAAGCACGAGATTTAGTACATTTAAAAGCGACAATTAGAAACCAGTTGTGTTGTACAGTTGTAACAAATTAACATGCATGGTGAAAATGTTAGTGTCATTTATACGAAATGGCCTTGATGTAATTTGTATCAAGAATTTAACTTGGGTAATGCATATCCTATACAGAAACGGTATTTATGTTATATTATATTTTGGTGGTTCAATACAAGTGTCCTGTACATTTTAGGTATAGGGCAATACAGTAAGGACGCTTGTGTTATTACAGGGTTTATTTATTTCCAATCTGTTGATTTTCTTGCAATACGTACTATTGTGTAATATTCCAACCTATTTGTATATAGCCGGTGATGATTTGATATGTAAAGATCACAAAATGGGTAACAGTTGCAATTTTGAGAAATGTGTTATTACGTTCATGCATTTTATATATGTCAAATATGTTGACGCGACCACCTCCGTTCAGTAGACCACCTGGGTTGAGAGACCACTTGTTTGGTGTTCTCCATTATATGGATTCCGTTGTGAACTAAACCTGTACTAACAGACGTTATATACAATTTTGGAACGCCCCATTGTCATAAAAAACGGGATTGGGACTCCATGTTGTTGTACGTCCGACTATGAATATCAATCGAGTATCGCATTTGGATTCCCATAGTTGTCGGAGTATGTATGGACACCTACAAGTGTACTGCATTGGCAGGCCTCATTTTGGTGTGCACATTCTCCTTTCCAGCATTTGTGTTACAGCAAAAGCGTAGTGTTACTAGGATTCCAAAGACAGGTTCGATTCTTTACCAGAGATGAATGTACATGTCTATTAACTACTTGTGACCTCTTTCATCCCGTTCTATTTGGCTACCATTTTGTAAAGTAAAGATCACAACCAAGACTCGCATTTATTTGGCACGCATAGTCTAATTGTGACCCCTCACAACACGTGCTTTCAGTTCGTAGTATGTGTGCTTATTTATTTAAGTCATCTTTTCTTTTTAAAAATGAGTTAAAAAGTATAACCATATGTACAAAAATAAGTAGAATTTTATTGTGTAGATTTCCCTGTTGTTTTAATTTCATTTTGACATGAGAAGGTGATCTGTAGTTTTAAAGGTTTTGAGGCATACATTACGGAGTACGATCATAGTTTAAACTTTACATTAAAGTTGACGTAACGAAAATCATCTTTGGATGGCATAGGTTATATGAGTCCTTAAACAAAATTGCTGTGTTGAAGAGTTAAATCTGCAAAGGTCTAGCCCATTGATACTGAAGCTGTCTCGACTTCCGACCAACTTTAAATTGTGTTTCCTGTGTTCAAATCAGAATACACAAATTATGTGTCCAAACATTGTCACCTACTTTCATTTTTTTTAAAAGTTTATCATCATTTGAATATGAGGATTAAAGTCCCAAGATTGCTCCCTATTTGCAGTACCTGGTATACTGCTAACTTCTAGATTTTAATTTGTTTAAAATCACGTCCTTATTGTTTTTACGAAATCGGTTTGATCTGAGATTGTAGTTGGTTTTTAATGTACAGTGTTCCCTCTTCAGGAGAGGTCGAGGTGAGGAAGCATCATATATCTGTAGGTTTTGCCTCAATGGATTGTAAGAACGCTAAATGTTTACACAACGCGGTTTGCTTTAATGGACAATAACTGTTGAAGCCTGAACAGTTATTGTTCACATGTCAACAATAAGCGTTAAGTGGTCTACGTTAATTGTTTATTTTATGGTTTTGTGAATAATAATCATCCATGCTAACAGCTTTTAATGTCAATCTTCTTCAAATGAATGTGTACGTTTGACGAGCTATTAAGCGTTATGTGATTATTAGGCTGTCTTACAAAGCGCATATGGTTGTATATTATGTGTAATATGATTTTAGCTTGTTTGGTGTGTAATGTATCATCGGTGCATTTCAAACCATCGCAAGGTGCAAAGCCATAACGTTTACGGTTTGTGCTGATGATATACCTTAGTTTAGAAAAATGTTGTTGATGCTATGAACATGAGTTGTAAGTGCCATATGTTGAAAGTTCTTCTTTTCTGTATTAAACTGTGTAGATCTAGTACGTAGGGTGGGTTAGGTCGCTAATTTAACAACAAATGACCATGTTTGCAATACAATTCTACCCCGCATTACTCATATCCACGTTCAGTTAACGTTACTACATGGATGTAGTTTGGCTATGTTTGTTCCGTTACATTCACACATAACACCATTACATTATGTAGCCATGTGATTTCAAAACGAACTGAATGTTAAGATAAAAACGAGTATTTATTGGTGCCATATGTCTAGAAGGTGCCGTCGTTCTGTGAGAACTGTTAATGGTGTGTCTGTGTGTATATTTTATAGCTGTCATTGATATAAGCGTAATTGCAATAGAATGATGCAAATTCATTTAATAACTGATGAATGTGTAATTAGATGTAAATGTAAAGTGTAATAGCAGACGTCGACATGCTATGGATTGTCTTACCTGTAATTATAACAGTCGTCACAGTACCATGGGTTGTCTGATCTGTTATAGTAACTGACATCGCCATTCTATGGGTTGTCTCGCCTGTGATTATAACAGTCGTTACACTACCATGGGTTGTCTGATCTGTTATAGTAACTGACATCGCCATGATATGGGTTGTCTTACCTGCATTTATAACAGTCGTCACAATACCATGGGTTGTTAGATCTGTTATAGTAACTGACATCGCCATTCTATGGGTTTTCTCACCTGTAAATATAACAGTCGCCACAGTACCATGGGTTGTCTGATCTGTTATAGTAACTGACATCGCCATTCTATGGGTTGTCTCACCTTTAATTATAACAGTCGTCACAGTACCATGGGTTGTCTTATCTGTTATAGTAACTGACATCGCCATGCTATGGGTTTTCCTACCTATTATACATGTAATAACAGGTGTCGCAATGTTATGGGTTGTCTATTCTATTATATGAACAGACGTCGCCATGCTATGGGTTGTCTTGCCTATTAAGCAGAAGTTGACATGCTAAATCTTGTCTGGTCTGTTATAATAACAGACATTACCATGCTATAGTTTGTCTGATATGTTATAATAACAGACGTTGCCATGTTATAGCTTCTCTGATATGTTAAAATAACAGACGTTGACATGCTGAAGCTTGTCTGATCTGTTATAATAACAGAAGTTACTATGCTATAGTTTGTCTGATATGTTATAATAACAGACGTTGCCATGTTATAGCTTCTCTGATATGTTAAAATAACAGACGTTGTCATGCTGAAGCTTGTCTGCTCTGTTATAATAACAGACGTTACTATGCTATAGTTTGTCTGATATGTTATAATAACAGTCGTTGCCATGACGTTAGTTGTTTAATCTGCATTAATGATACTATCTTACAATATGATAGACAGTAATTATGCATGGTCGTATTTGTGACGAAAACCAACATGTGATTTGTAAGAAAAGAATCATAAGTAATATTTTTGAATTGTTGATATTGTTATTAAAAAAAATTAACATGTTTGACACGAGTTTTGGTTTTCATTCCTTGTACCAGGGTTTGTTGCATCTTCCATCCGTCTTCAGTTCTTGTTCGACTCATGGATGCCATAGTTGTCTTAGATGAGATCAAATCAGCGTATTGCTTGTTTGATGAAACTAGTAGACAGAAGTATCGAATGTTCAAATATTTACTCTTGATTTGACACTCTCGAGGTCAAAGTGAACAAGACGTAAAATGTCGTTTTAAAAGGGAAAGGCTTCTAACTGCCTTGCAAGAGAATCGCACAACCATGTATCTGTATTGTAAATCCAAACACTGACAAAATAATTCCAGATTAACGCTTAAGGATTGATAACTAAAACATTGATATTTGATCATGTTTTTTAAACAGATTAGAAACTAAGAAATCGCATCTGATTGGAATTTAACTAAATTTGTCTGGAAGTTTACCGAGGTGGTGGGGATTCAAAATTGTACAAATGGTAGGGTTGACATCCCAGGGGGCTGAGAGGCGGAGCCAAATATTTTTCTTTATTTTTCACCCTATAACCATATAAACAGTTGCTGAGTATAAAGAGATGAATACACATATTCTTCCAGGATGGCCCTTGGGTATGGCCCCACCCCTGGAGACATAGTCCCTGGGTCATAACTTTGAAACGGTTGATATCCCCGCCCCAAATCTATATCTACAAATACTGGTCATAAAGAGACGAATGCAGTCATGATATTTGAATTGGCCCTGGGGTCTGGCTACACCCCTAAGGACCAATTGTCTGAGTCTCAGCTTGGAAACAGTTGAGATCCTCGCCCTACATATGCTTTCAGTATGGCTCCTGGGTCTACCTCACCCTTGGGGACTTAACCCCACCCCAAAACTATATATGCAATTGCTAGGCATAAAGAGACGAATGCAGTCATGATAATTGACCCCGGGGTCTGCCCCGCCCTTGCATACTTAACCACTAGGTCATAAATTTGAAACGGTTTAGATCCACAAAACATGACGTTGCTGAGCATGACAAATTTGTATGCTGCAAGGATTGGCCTTGGGGTATGATGGATCTTGCTTAGATATCCAGGTGAGCGATACAGGCCCTCAGTGTCTCTTGTTTTGAATATTCACAGATTGATAGACACAATGTTTTAATGTATTTAAATCTCTCTGCATTTCTGTGTATAAATGATTCAATCAAACTGCTTATTGACTAGAGAAAAATATATAAAACAGATACAAAATATTTCAGTCTGATAGAAAGTAAAGTGATCAGTGCTGTTTCAACGACACCACATTGCATCACGTATGAAATACGAAAGATCGGTCAGTCGAGGCCGTGCGAGTGGAACACTGTTTTCCAAGTATTTTTTTTCATTACCGCTAAACGTCACTTAGTATGTCAAACATGTAACAAAATTGGCGTAGCCCGTTTCGAACAAAAGGGAAAACTCAAAATAACTTTAGGTGATTTGTGTTGTTGTCTTTGACATAGGTTCGTTATGCAGTTTTTTACTCAACCTGGCTGCTTTTAGGAGTGTTAAACTTCGTATGTAGATACTTGTTGTATTTAAGAAGAGAAAAATGTTTAAGTCTTCCACTAACGTATTCTTAATGTGCGTTCGTGTTATATGAGAAATAATCTATACGACTCATGGAGTTCGATTATTATTTATATATTTTAATTTCTTAAATTGTTTTCTTTCATAAATATAACTAACAAGTGTCTACGCTTCATCAAAAATAATTTAAATCATAATCATTCATCACTGTTTGGCTATCGAACCATATTTGAACACCTGTTCTGCGTGTGCCTTTAGTGAGTTGGGGTAAAATGATAATCTATATATAAATAATATTTCGGCAATCTTGATATAAATTGGAATATCATTTAGGATTCGTACGCTCGTGAAGAGATGTTTGAGGTATATGCTGACTTTATTTGTTTATTCAATAATTAGATTAGATAGACTATAGGACTAAGAGTTAGGAAAATAAATTACAAATGACATGCGTACGTTGACAATTAGCAGACAATAGATGAGGTGAAAATTGTACATGAGAGTTACTTCCCTTGCACGAAAAGCAATATCCGGCACAGGTAAACACGCACACCTGTATAGCGACTCACATGTGTATTGGTCAGACTTGGACACACGTGCCCTGTTGTTGGTATACAAATGGATATATATTTAAAACTATGAATTAACTTATCACCATGTGTTGTAAACCACAAGGAATGAAGTACCTGTGCTAAAATTGTTGTTAACACTCCGATGTAACCCAGGTGTATCGGGATCGGGGTTTGCACACACTACTGGGAGGTGAATGTGATTTTACACACTATAAGTGGATTCGTGTTCTGTCAGGCATGGGATATAACGGAGTAATAAAAGTCGTGTGAGACATGCAAACAGCTCAAAATTATTGTTTCAAATTTGAAAGAAGAAAATCTAAGACACTTTCGGCAGTATGAGACTTGTATATCGCTACGTTAGTGCTGCCTGTGTGTTTCTGACCGTTGTGGTACTACTAGTATACAGACAGTACGTGTGGAGAAGGAACAAAAGTTATAGCACTGTCCATCTGCGGAACTGGGGACCAGGAGCTGTCTTCTACAACCCTTCCGGAAACAAAACCTCCCTAATCAAGTTCCCCTATAATGCTCGACCCCCGGGAGTCGGGCGCATAAAGGAGGACCAGTGGATGTTCCGTCTACGGAAACAGCATAATATCAACATCTATATCAGCGACTCCCTTCCCCTCAACAGGGAGGTACCCGACTCAAGACCTCCAGGGTGAGTCCAGTCTCTCCGTTGTAAGGCTGTGGTAGGGTTTGTGGCACAATAAACGTTCATCCAGCATGGAATGATGCAAAAAGTTAGTAAATCATACAGTTGTTTTGAAGGATATAGAAAAAACTACCACCTAAACATTTTTGTATACGTATTTACCCCAACCAGCAGAGAAAAAATCCTTCACAAAACATTTCAAAGTATTACAGACACTATTAAGTCCTATTGAACGAGTATAATGCGATTATTACAGTGACCAGTAAGTTAAAATATGCACATTGATTAATTCAGTTCATAAAAAGGCAAAAAATAGGTACATATATAATGTACAATGCATTTTACAATGCATTTTACAATGCAAGGGAGATAACTCTTATTCACGGAGGGGTCGTAGCATCTGTAAGCATATTCATCTTTACAAATATGACCCCATTAGGCAAGTTTAAATTCATTTTATATATGTAAGCCACTGACCCGGCCTATCCCTCCAGCATACAAAAGTTGTACCTAAAACATGACCATAGAATGTGACCATATTGTTGTAGCACAGCACTTTTTTGAAATATTTCCCCATCCCCATGAGGGAGTATATAATTTCTGAGCAAACTACACTCGTATATGAAAAATATCAATCGCCGAAACGCAATACATACATTTTACTCCATACATTTGATATTGAAAATCTTGCAGGTTATACATGTAGCTCACCTTTTCGCCTTGTACATTGTATAAAGGTTTAAATTAGAGTTTTAAGACACCAGTCGACAATGTTTTACATACTGGATTTCTGTAAACAAGATATCTATAACTTTTACATGTGGATCAGGAGGGGTTATCAGTCTAATATTCACTGTTAAATTACATAAAGTTGTTTTTGACAGCACAATACATGTATAAAAGTGACAAATAATGAATAATTGTGACGTGTAAACAATGGTCTCGTCACAACAATTTTTTACGGTCAAGTCACCAATGCAAAAATGTTTTTTTCTCGGGCGTTGAAAATGGTTGATAAAAGAAGTGACATTTTGTTAAACTTCATCGGGATACTCTTCATCGAAATAAAAAATGAGAAGTTCAAATTAACCAAACCTTTATTTCAAGGCAAATCTCTGTATATTAACTCCAATCATCTGAAAAAACCTGTTTCTTTCAACTCTTATTCAACTGAACACATTGTTTCTTTCAACTTTTATTCAACTGTAATCACTGTTTCTTTCAACTCTTCTTCCCTTAAGCAGCAAGCTACTGCCTTTGTAAAGCAGCAAGCTACTGCCTTTGTAGAGCCTAAATTAATACTACCTATGTATACGCATGATAGCCGCCCCAGCAGTGCCTTCAATTCATGTATCTAGCTAGGCACAAGGGCAAGGATATCACTTCCTCAACCGAATCAATCGATAATTTGTCTTTTATCGGTTACAATTTAATTCCGCTTACCCTATCTTTGAATCTGATAATACACTACTTATGGACTCGGTATTCAATATTTAAATCTCGTCATATACATTTATGTATTCTTATTATCTAACCATTAAATAACCACCATCTTGCATTGTTTCAGGAATTGTAGTTAACCAAAAATCATATGTTTGCCAGAATGATGTCAAATATAATTATTTCGCTCGCATCCCAGGACTTCCTGTATTTTGACTTACACTTGTGAAACCATTGCATAAGTTTTATAGATATGCAATGTACATTTGTATTCCAGTTGTAAGACGCTGACCTTTCCTACCAGCCTGCCGACATTGAGTGTGGTGATTGCCTATCATAATGAGTGGCCGTCTGTCCTACTGCGGACCGTCCACAGCATTGTCAATCGGACACCCAAGTCCATCCTCAAGGAAATCATCCTGGTGGACGACGCTAGCGATTCAGGTACGAATCATTCATGTGTTGGTTGGATTATATGTTTTACATGTACTTAACATCGTAGTCAAGGTATAATACATAGAACATCTTACATAAGTGTCGTTGTCCTATCGAACTTATCGATACATTCAATATGACACGGACAAGAATGTAAGATTCTATTTATCACAAAACATTCATAATTTGAAAAATCTCTGTAGAGATTAACCTAAGTACCCCGATCATAGCAGTGGACAGTAGTTCCAAATAATTTCTTTTTCAAAATAATAAACAGTTTGATATTTAATGAACATATTACTGACAAAATAAATATTTCAAATCCATTTAATAGAAAAGGCCTGAAGAGTTTATTTAAAGTAGTATCTGTAGTGGCGTAGGAATATGTTCCCACGGTTTTGACCAATCGCAGCACCTTTCGGTTTTATTACACACGTCTGTATTACCATATTTATGACATGGCTGTATGACAGTAAATTGGGTCAGTTATGTGATACATGTAAAATGATTATTATAAAAACAAATCCTTTTAAAATGCTTTTACGGTCTGTATTTGCCTTATTTTTAAAAGAGCTTGAGCAGCACTTAGTAGCCTACCTGCAAACACTCACTGTACATGTACAAAGTACAATGTATATGAGGATTTAGTGACACTATTACATTTTTGAAACAGATATCTACCAGATGGAAGTTTACCAATATGTGCGACAGAGCTTCAGTGAAGACCTTGTTCAGATGGTGACTTTACCAGTGCGGTCAGGACTGATTCGAGCACGATTGGAGGGATTTAAACACGTTACAGGACAAACTGTTGCATTCTTCGATAGCCATATGGAGGCCAACGTTGACTGGTGTGTGTGTCGTATTTGAACTCATGTGTATCGAAGCAAATTACAGTGGTATTATGCAATATTGATAGTTACTTTAATTCGTATATTCATATTCATGCTCAAGTATACCATGCAACCTCATTAGTCTATATTGAACTTCACTATAAATAAATAAGAAAATAAACATTAATTTGGAATGCTTTTCGATAGATTTGTTCTGTATTCTGTCAAGAGTAAGTCATTGTACTTTTTTTAAAGTTTTCACTTGATCCTTTTTATTGTTTATGTATTTAACACTTAATTACGTCATATTATTATTTTCCGAAGGGCACAGCCCCTGTTACAACAAATATTGGCGGATGATCGGACGATAGCCATGGCCCAGCTGGACTACGTAGAGAGGAATAGTTTCAAGTATAGGTTCACCAAGGGCTACCGAACAAGATACGGGTTCGACTGGCGGCTCCAGTTCTTTGAGACCGAGTTCAGAAAGGACCAGCTGGCTGGCAAATCTGATACTGATGTTCTCCCGTACGTAATTAGACACTGCAAAAAGAAAATTGAACAAATGTTTGTACAGAGGATTTTATAATGAGGTGTAGTGTGATCTATTAAGAACAGTCCATTATTTTTGTTTCATGTTGTATTTGTGGCGTTAAATATCTAAACTGATATTTTTGTTTTTGTTTTTCAGTTATATCTATTGTGTTTTGTGTTGCATGTTGTGGTGTAAGACATTTGAAGTGCCGTAGTATATTTTGTTTTGTGTTGTATTTTAGGGCGTGATATATTTAAAAGTAGTATATGTATTGTTTTTACGTTGTTTAGTTGTATTTCATGAGATACATGTATAATGGCATACAATATTGATGGTGTTTTGTGTTGTGCCAGATGTTTAGAGTAACATAATCATATTTTATGCTGTGTTAGATATTGAGAATAGTGTATTGTATATTATGCGATGCATGATGGAGTATTTCTGAGATATTTTACGTGATGTGTTTATTTTGTTGTTTGTTGTGTACATGTGTGCTATAAAGTGTAGTGTACATTTGGTATGTATTGTACAGGTGTGCTTAGAGTAAAACGTTTATGCGTATACTGTAGAGATGTGCTTAGAGTAAAACGTTAATGCTGCATGCTGTAGAGGTGTGCTTAGAGTAAAACGTTTATGCGTATAATGTAGAGGTGTGCTTAGAGAAAAACGTTTATGCTGTATGATGAAGAGGTGTGCTTAGAGTAAAACGTTTATGCGTATACTGTAGAGATGTGCTTAGAGTAAAACGTTTATGCTGCATGCTGTAGAGGTGTGCTTAGAGTAAAACGTTTATACTGTATGCTGTAGAGGTGTGCTTAGAGTAAAACGTTTATGCGTATGCTGTAGAGGTGTGCTTAAACTAAAACGTTTATGCTGTATGCTGTAGAGGAGTGCTTAGAGTAAAACGTTTATGCGTATAATGTAGAGGTGTGCTTAGATTAAAACGTTTATGCTGTCTGTTGTAGAGGTGTGCTTAGAGAAAAACGATTATGCTGTATGCTGTAGAGCTGTGCTTAGATTAAAACGTTTATGCTGTATGCAGTAGAGGTGTGCTTAGATTAAAAGGTTTATGCTGTATGTTGTAAAAATGTGCATAGAGTAAAACGTTTATGCGTATGCTGTAGAGTTGTGCTTAAACTAAAACGTTTATGCTGTATGATGTAGAGGTGTGATTAGAGTAAAACTGGATGCTGTATGCTGTAGAGAATTGGTTAGAGTAAAACGTTTATGCGTATGCTGTAGAGGTGTACTTAGAGTAAAACGATTATGCTGTATGCTGTAGATGTGCGCTTAGAGTAAGACGTTTATGCTGTATGCTGTAGATGTGCGCTTAGAGTAAGACGTTTATGCTGTATGCTGTAGATGTGCGCTTAGAGTAAGACGTTTATGCTGTATGCTGAAGAGGAGTGCTTGGATTAAAACGTTTATGGTGTATGTTGTAGAGGTGTGTTTAGAGTAAAACGTTTATGCCGTATGCTGAAGATGTGTGCTTAGAGTTAAACGTTTATGCTGTATGTTGTAGACGTGTGCTTAGAGTAAAACGTTAATGCTGTATGCTGTAGAGGTGTGCTTAGAGTAAAACGTGTATGCTGTATGCTGTAGAGGTGTGCTTAGATTAAAACGTTTATGCTGTATGTTGTAGAGGTGTGCTTAGAGTAAAACGTTTATGCTGTATGTTGTAGAGGTGTGCTTAGAGTAAAACGTTTATGCTGTATGTTGTAGAGGTGTGGTGATGGTCGGAGCTGCGTTTGTTGTTGATGTGAAATACTTCACAGATATCGGTACATATGATGACGGCATGAAGATCTGGGGAGGCGAAAATCTCGAGCTGTCGTGGAGGGTATGTAGTGTACTTCAGTAGGTCGTTCGATAAGAAAGGTAGAGAAGACAATAAAACCATCTATCTAATATGTCCGCCAAATTTTAATACTTGCTTTTCACAAAACAACTGGTGTTATTAAAAACGTATAACACGAAAATGACTACAAACAATTAATTCCTTCCACCAAGTCACCAATCCTACCACAAACAGTGGCATATCCTTTCTCCAAAACGCACACGCTACAATCCAAATACACAAATATTATCCGCAAACCACACGTCCTGCCAATAACCCTACAAATTCTACACCCAAAATACCATGCCTAGTCGCCGCTGCGCGTCATGAAGGACAATACAAGTGTTCCCTTTCCTCCTTGTATCCGACAAGGGTAACGAATTGGCGCTCATGATAGTGTGAAGACCTTCACCAGTACCTACTGGCCAGCCAAAATCAACATCAGCAAGTGTTGCTTGAATACCATCTTATAAATGTTATATCAAAGTTTTACTCTCTCTATCGATAGGCGAAACGTCTCGGTCAAGTGACCTACAAACAATTCGTCACACCTTTGTACAGGTAACGAAACGTTGCGACACGTTTAATACGTACATTTTTGTGTAGAAAGTAAAACTTTGATATCACATACACGTATATCCAAACTGATGAATCTTACTGAACATCTTAACAGTTATAATAAACTTTTTCTAATTGGCTGGCAAATTTGATTGACGATAATTGAACATTTGTTCTGAGTCGTGCTCTAGGCGACTTATATCAATTTCCTTTGATTTTAACTTCTAGTCAAGCCCTATTCTACTTTAAATTACATGTATTTCTTAATTGAATGCTAGGTGTGGCTATGTGGAGGTCGTCTTGTGCACGTGCCGTGCTCGAGGGTAGGTCACATTGAACGTGATCAGCCGTATGACTTCCTTGATGACAGGAGAAAGGTAGAACTGTACAACTATCGGCGGGCGGTCAGTGTATGGATGGGAGAGTACTCCCGATACGTATACGGATTCTACCCAGATATGAAGGTAGGCTTACCAATCTGGTTAGGTACTGCTGTTCACCTATTGTTATTGTTTGGAACGGAAACACTCATAGCCGTATTATGCAATCTTGCATACACATACGTCGTTAACAGACAATGGCATCGACGTCAAAATAGGTTGCTTCGTAAATGTGTTGACATTAGTGCAAAACAGTGGTCATTGTAAATATTCCAAAATATGTTTTTAACCTAACTAATTGCCATGGTAATGCCACGTAGCGACCTGCATAGTTTCTTCCTGATGGTTGAAATATTAGTTTTTAAGAACACATATTCACTATGTTTTTTTGTTTTACTTAATTTTGAATCAAGTTTGTTTATGGTTTAAGAATATGCTACATGTATGTTAAGACTCCGAATTACTCGTTAACAAATACCCATTCATATGGAATAAAAATATTGTTTTACCAACTATGTAGGGTATTTCTGTTGGTGACTTGGACGAAAGAATCAGACTCAAAAACAAGTTGCAGTGTCGGTCGTTTGATTGGTTCATGAATAATATCTGGCCGGAGTTGTTCGCTTATGATGTCAACGTGACGTCATCGGGAGGAGCAGGCGTAAGTACTAGTAGTATCACTGCTTATTGAAACTATAATTTAAGAACGGTAACATACATCTAGTTTAAATTTCAGAATCAGTAAGGAAGAATATGTCAGATCGAATATTTCTTTTTATATAAAAGAGAAACATAAAATGTGTCGATATATTTCGATAAACAAATCGAAAATAACTGATAGTCATGATTCAATATTTCATATAAAGAGTTATCCGTTGATAACATTAATGATATCTTACATTGTAGTTGGAGAACTTCAGGCCACCTCGTTGCCTTGACAACAACTTGTACCTGTTTTCGTCCCCGGCTCCACTCCGTGTCCAATACTGCAACTATCACGTGATGCAACAGGTATTGTACCGGATACTTACCATAATACGTTTTGTTTTGTGGTTACATGACATTCATACGTCCGATTGACCCCGAAACATTGCAGCATCGGGACGTAAATGATTATCGAGTCACGTGGACATAATCTTGGAATCAACGACACATACACCTAATGACCAGCCGGGTTTGAGGGAGACAGATGTAATGATCAACCAAAACGTCAAACTGATAGCGGAAAACAGCCTCAGCAGTTATCTTGCTATATTCTTATACAAGGTATCCTGACTCAACGGTGTCTGTTTGAATCATCATACACAGATGCTCATTGGTGATGATGCTGCAACGATGAAATACCAACGGCTTTACATCAATTTGGAAAACAACAATTATACCCCTAATTGCAATATTAGCCCTAAATCATCAGTCAAAAGTTATACCTCTATTTTGAATATTAGCGCCTAAACATCGGTCATCGAATATACCTCTATTTTGAATATAAGCGCTTAATTTCTAATAAATATTTATATTTGTGCTAACTGTCAATACGTATCCGATTTTTGCTATGATGACAGGTTTCAGCATACTTTCTTCTGACAAGTAAAGCAAGTTCTCTGTAAAGTCAGTTTCCCAGTTTGTGGATGAGGTAATCAATGATAATAACACTAACTGGATACGTCAGTTAAAAATTCCAAAGAAATGTCACAGATACATCTTTTTCGATGGGTCAGGAAATAAGGTACCAAGTGGATCAAGTATTTGATTTTTAAAATGTTTCCGATTTGTTATGTAGTTTCCATTCACTTATCAAGACCACATATGAACTACTAATGGTTTACGGTGTTGACATTGAGTGAACATACCTCTGTTTCAACAAGGGAACCTGATACATGCCAGGATGCAAAACCAAATAAACAATTCCATGTCTGAACATGTTAAAACATTAAGTAGTAGGTGATTTAACATGCTTTTGCTTTTGTAGCTTATTGTATTCAAATACACCAAATATGAATCGTGTTAATGTACATGTATATCTGGCTATGTACATGTATATCTGGCTATGTACATGTATAACTGGCTATGCACATGTATATCTGGCTATGATCTGGCTATGTACATGTATATCTGGCTATGTACATGTACAGCTGGCTATGTACATGTTTATCTGGCTATGTACATGAACACAACTGAATCCGGGGTTTTGTGTTATATACAGTGAATGTGTCTTTTTTTTGAAATTTATTTTAGTACTTCAGTTATTACTTTTTTCAGAACTTCGCACTCACCACAACTAAAGAACTTCGGACGATACTGCAGTGTGTACATGTGAAGAGGGAAGACATGGACTATGTACCTTGTCTAGCAAACTGTCTGGAGGTACAGGATAAATGGGAACATTCAAAGGTAGGGCACTAAATTAAACACGGATGGGAACACAACCAGAGTGGTAAAAAACAACTAGTTACACCACCACTGGAAAGTTTCCAAGTTTAGACACGATTTTTGTCCAACGAACTGGAACACTGCAATTTAGGAAAGTACAGTTATACGGCAAATGTGAGCAGTATAGTTATTCTACAGATGTGAGCATTGCAAGTTATAACATTATAGCCACACCACAGTTTGGAGCAGCGTGTTCCAACAAACACGAACACTATACATTAGAACAGTAAAGACACACCACGAAAGATCTACAAGTAGAGGCATTCTAACGTACAGACTAATAAACGCAAATAACACGGAAGCCAATTGAAACATAAATTTAAATAGTAACATTAGCAAATTAACACCGAAATCCTATATCAAAATCGATAAAAGCAAGACATCAAAATGATTTGGGACATTGAAATAGGTGTTCTATCACGATGTGTCCTGCATCAAATGTCTCGTGTCTAGTAAAATTCGTATGGCACCACCTGTCTGATACACAAAGGTAAAGTCTTTTGTCATCGCCGGGCTCGAGACCGAAGGGTTGCGGGTTCGAGTCACGGCACGGCACTGTGTTGTATCTTTGAGCAAGATGTACTTTACTCCGCTTGTTCCAGTCTACTCAGCTGCAAATGAGTACGTGGTTTGGCAGTGCTAGAGTTGTTGAAAGCTAGCTGATAGCGCCGAAATGGCAGCTCCGGCTGTATGCTCCCCAGGGAGTTTTTTTGAGAAAGGTATCGGGCTGGTTGAAAAGGCCCTATAACCACGGATAATAATCTGTGAACCGCTTTGAGACGACCTACGAACTAGGTTGTGATAAAGCGGTATATTCCGTCTTTGCGTATTGCAGAGTTATCTTCTCTTGGGAGCAGGTATTGATTGTTACGTCACTTGTTTGTGAGAGGAACGTCATCAATTTTTGAGAAAACGACGTAATTTTCTCACACGGACCAATGATGTAAAAATCAATACCTGCTCCCAAGAGAAGATAACTCCGCAATACGCAAAGACGGAATAAGAATCTCGAACCATTAATTATTAATTGTTACTGTGTACAATTGTGAAGGAAATCTTAATAATAAGTTCTTAAAATCTATTGAACATGAAAATCGTCTTTATTGTTTAAGGAGATATGAATGATAACCATTATATACAGCACATCTTTCCATGTCTCTTTGATATATTACAGGAGGGTCTACTTGTGCACTTGACCACGCGACTCTGCATGGCGCTACTACGTGACTCCCTCATATTGCGAGATTGTAAGGCAGGGGACCCCAGCCAGACTTGGACGTTTGCCAGCCAACGCGCAGATGGTGCTAATGCAGCAAATTGGTGACACAGTCGTTCACTTGATGATGCACCTATTCGACTAAATAATTGTTCTTAGTGCTTTCCACCAAAATGATAGAAGACAATGCGGTCGCAAGAGCAGAATGGATGCATTTGTCAAGATTATTGCAATCAGCTGCATGTTTCATTATTGACACAAGGTAGTTAGGAAATATCTGCCTTCTTTTTTTACAGACTTGGCCAAATATCGGCTGTAGATTGAGATTATATGAATATTATTCCATTTTGTCATACCTCATTTCTCGGTTGATTGATAGGCAACCTGATATTATGCATACACTTATCTTTAGCGTGCTGCAGATATCGTGAGAGAGATCTGAAAAAGAGAACGCGTGCAAAATGATAACCCTCTGCACGTTTTAATCACTTTATCTACAAAACTTTCAAATCTTTCCTATTTTGTTTTTGTTACGTTTCGTCACTGCCGTCATTATCATTTGTCATGCACGTCAAAAACCTTTTTTGCTGTTAATAGTGAGTCGTGAATTTCTCGTATGTGGAAATGTATAAATTTGATATACAATTTTGTTGAACAATACGCTATGAATAATGCCTGAAGTGAAAACTCTTTTTATAATGGTTGGGTAGCCACTCTTCATTGTTAGGCGCTGCTGATGTATGGCCGTTCTTGACCATGAACGTTCGGTAACAGATGGAAGTCATGGTCCCGGCATTTTGTGTATAGACGAAATACAATGTAGTTACAGACGTCTTTGACTTTATCAGCAACAGGTACCGACACACGATTCAGATACAATGTACCAAAGTGCACTAAACAGTTTCAGATAAAAGATATATACAGTTCGTATATCTGTAATAAGTGCATATATTTGTGACACCTGTTTTCATGTAACCACAATGTCATTGTACAACACGATAAAGGAACTACATATTTTACATTCAATCTGCCTAGGTGTTGGTTTTCCATAATTATTATCATATCAAACAACCCTTCATTGTGTTATCCAACCATTTCATTATACACTCATAATGTTGTACCATTGTTCCTATAACTATATAAATGTCTATATGGTATTATTTTGTATCACTTTTTAGCTCGCGTGTTCGAAGAACAGAGAGCTATATAACGATACCCCCGGCGTGAGCGTGGAAATGTGAAAGTTTTACCTGCAAATTATTTAGAAGCTTGTCATTCATTAAATATGTGTAGTTGGATGCTGATATTTAGCATGAAGATTCATAATGGGTATGCTATTGAGGTAGTGAAGTTAAAATTATTAAATAATTTCAATTATTTTAGACTTTCGACCAGTTGATGTACTAAACGTTTTTGAAGCACATCAACGTTAAAGTTTTAATTGCAAGTTATTTAAAAGCTTGTCAGTCATTAAATATGTGTACGAGGATGCTGATATTTGTCAGTCATTAAATATGTGTAGGAGGATGCTGATATTTGTCAGTCATTAAATATGTGTACGAGGATGCTGATAGTTTGCATAGAGGTTCCTGTGGGGTAAAACATTGATGAAGTTAAAATTAGAAAACAAATTCATTTTTTGTTTTTGAGACTTTTGACTTGTTTTGCTTTACATTTTTGTAGCACATCAACGTTAAAGTTTTTGGTGCAAGTCATTTAGAAGCTTGCCATTCATTCAATATGCGTACGAAGATGCTGATATTTGTCATGAAGGTTCCTTTGGACTATACTTTTGATGTAGCAAAGGCACAATTAACAAATTACTTTTTTTTTCTAATTTAAAAAAGTTTTGATTTTAACATTTTAAGAGCATATCAGTAATACAAACAATATTTTCTTTCTTGTGTTCTTTATCTACCTATATATCATTTACTGATGGCAATACCATATTTATAAAAAACAAATATTGATTAAGTATTATTTGGGTCAGACTTAACTGCAATGGTTTATAAAATAAATAAGACTAATGTTATGATATATGGTATGACTTATCTGCAGTAGAAAGGGCGCTCGCTTCGTGCAAGTAGACTGGTGTTACGGGTCAAAACCTAAGACTTTAAAACAAGGCAATCTTCTCACTCCCTGCTAAGGATAATGTGACCAAGTGAAGTATCATGTCAATGTGTATGCGGCATGGTATTTCAGTGAGACAGCACTATAAAGACAACATAATCTACATGTTGCAAGCAGACACCGTCTCAATATGACCTATACATGAGTTAAAGGGAAGCTTAACCCAAAGAAACAAATATTTTTTTTAAAGACCATACACTTTTAAACAGGCGAGCATTGGGTGAAGTATTTCTTTCTTTTTTTTATCGGAAAGTAAAAGGTATTTTATGACAAAAGTAAATACTGTAGTACATATGTACACTGAATTTTGATATTAAAACTAAATATTTGAGTATAGATAAAACATTATCAGGTTATACCCTTCTACGAGAAAATCAATTAGTGATTCCAACGTTTATGGAAAACAGCTAAACAATAATGTTCCCCGAATTTAAAAAAAAATGTAGTTAAAAACTAAGCAAAGGCACATACCTAAGACAGTGAAAATGTGACATTATACTACAAGAAGAAAAATGTCATTAAAAAATACCGCCTCTATTTAGCCTGGTTCTCGGATTATAGGAACATCACGGGAAGGACTCCTTGTGCACTCGAACACGGGACTCTGTATGACACTAATCCAAGACATATCTTCATTAGCCTGTGTGCAAGAATGAAAGACAGGGACCCGAGCCAGACATGAACAATCGCCAGCCCATGCGAAGATGGTCGTAATGCGGTCATTTGATGATACACCAATTCTGCTGAGGTTACACTTTTTTGTTGTTGTGTGTTTTACTTCCTATTACATGTTAAGGTCATTTAAGGATGTGTCAGGTTTTGGTGGTGGAGTTCCCGGAGCAAAACCACTGACCTACGGCCAGTACCTGACGACTGCCCCACGTAGGCCTCGTTCCCGCGACACAGTGGTGGAGTGCTAGTGGTAGCAGAATGTTAGACGCCTTAACCACGACCCAGTGGTGGAGGGCTAGTGGAAGCAGAATGTTAGACGCCTTAACCACGGCCCAGTGGTGGAGGGCTAGTGGTAGTAGAATGTTAGACGCTTTAACCACGACCCAGTGGTGGAGGGCTAGTGGTAGCAGAATGTTAGACGCCTTAACCACGACCCAGTGGTGGAGGGCTAGTGGTAGCAGAATGTTAGACGCCTTAACCACGACCCAGTGGTGGAGGGCTAGTGGTAGTAGAATGTTAGACGCTTCAAGCACGACCCAGTGGTGGAGGGCTAGTGGTAGTAGAATGTTAGACGCCTTAACCACGACCCAGTGGTGGAAGGCTAGTGGTAGTAGAATGTCAGACGCCTTAACCACCGCGGCCCCTCATGATACACATATTCGGCTCCTTGATGCGAAAGACTCAGTAGAAAGGTCCTCTTAATTAAAGTTATAATTAGCTTGGTTCCTGCACTATACAAATGACATTATGACAGCCGCCATATGGTGTAAGGTATATCGAGGCGGCAGCACCAAAACAGAAAGAATACGTCATACACCTTATATCAAAGTTTTACTTTATACACAAACCAAGTACGTATGTATTAAACGTTTTGTCTAAAAAGTATAAAAATTGTCATTTGTATAGTGCATGAACCAAGCTAAATATAAGTTGAATTTAGAGAACGTTTCTACATATATATTGCCGTAAATAAACAAAAGTTGGTTGACGTGTAGGAACCCATTATGCATATGTTGTATATCAATCAGCACGACCGGTATTGTTCATTATTATAACGAAGACTTTAGAAACAGAACAAAATAAATATTCATTTTCAGAATACTAAACCCGATATACTCTAAAATGGCCATCCGTTAAAGGTTAAATTTAAGAAACTAAAAAATAAACAGCTTACATTAAATGATGCAAGCCATGTCAAACATATGGATTGTAAACTTTAGATAAAAATGCATTTATTTTGGAATCATTGATATGTTATATTGGACCTCTTTGTCAATGTACTGATGTTGACTGTTTGACATCGCATCGCAATGCCTCGGACACTGAGTTCGGGACTATTAAGATTATTCAGGAAATAAATCTTACAGAGGTTATTTTTACCATATTCTTGAGCATTTTGTTCTGGTTAACATAGCTCTGGGCTAAAATCAACACATTCTAAGGGATCACACATAATACCGACAATTTGTTTGCGTTATAACGTTCTTCAAGTGACGGCGATTCTCTGATTATATTTAGTTTAAACCATATTTTTTTTTTTTTTTCATGTCATGCATACTATACATAAGCGGAAAGAAATGTCTTTAATCGTGATTTAGTGATACTGCAATGTAGTTGCTACATACAATTGCATACTATAAGATAAGTGAACCCGACATAGGTATAATAAATGGTATCATGGCAAGATGATTTGTGACTCATGTCACTGGGATTTATGTGACAGTACTGTTGGTAAAACGTTTGGTTTTAGAAGTAAATTATTGGATACAACGGAAAACGCTTTCGTTCTCATCAATAGATAATTTGGATCTGCGTACAGAAGCATGTCAAGAGTGTAATTTTTAATTATAAAGCATTAATTTCTTATTTTTGTATAATTAGGACAAGACAAGAAAATGTTCAGAAGTTTCATGTGTCTGTCTACATGAGCAATAAGGGCTATCGACAAGATTACGACTAAGCAGGTGGGCATTTAAGGAGCTGCAGTAGTTCATCCTCAGTCTAGCTGAATCTGGTCGAGTTGTTTTCCATACTTATAATAAATGGGGACTGTAAGGGAGTGTATGTGTATGTAGCTTTTCAGGTTACTTAATGAGGGGTTATTTTTAATATCTGGGGGTAGTGAATTCCACGGGTCAATAGAGGAAGGAAGAAAATATTTCTTGTAGACGTTATTTTTGCAAAATACATTACTTAAGTTGTCAGCAACACGTGTGTTATATTGGTGAGCGTCGATATTGCGTTGCGGGAGTAGATGTGAAACGTATGGGAAAGTAAGGCCAAACCCAATTTTATGTATCTGAACTATTTTCTTTGCGTTGCGTCGGTATTGTAGACTGTCCCAGCCAGTTTCCTTATAAAGCCGAGCATGATTTGTTAGTTTAGTACCACCCGTTGTAATTCTTGCAGCTTCGAGCTGAATATTCTCAAGAGATTGTGATTGTTGGATAGTTAAATTATCCCAGACGATATTACCATATTCAAGTATATGTCTAACAAATGAAAAAGACAAGGTTTGAAGAGAGTGTCTGTCTATTTCAAATTTAAATTGTCTTAGAATGGCTAGTTTATTTGACACGAGAGGAAATAAGTCCTAAATGTTTGTGTTGTTAACCTCATTAACAGGAACGTCATTCATAAATAAAGGGGGTGATGGGGCTACTTATCAAAAGAGATTAAATTTGTTAAGGGTCTAAATTTAACCAACCACTTTTCAGACCTTGCATATATTTTCCTGAAACTGTCATTCAACAAATATGCACATATTGAGACGGAGTATCGACTTTGGCATAAAGGGAAGTGTCGTCAGCAAATAGTTTTATTAAAGCGTTAATATCGTCAACTATGTCATTTATAAAAATCAAAAAGAGCAGTGGACCTAATATTGACCCCTGGGGTACACCAACCCTTATTTCCATCCACTCAGAGGTCTTACTGTTTATAACTACTCGTTGCTTCATATTATTTAAATAACTTTTAAACCATGACAATAAACTCTGTCGAAGGCCTTGTTGATATCACAAAAGATTATCCGAATTTCCTTACCTTTATCTAGCGCCGAGTATATATCGTTAGTAATGGCGAGTAATTGATAAGTTGTAGAGTCACCTGCCCTGAATCCAGATTGAGAAGGTGATAATAAAGAACTTTCAATAATGAAGTTGTTTAGATATTTATATTCACATTTTCCCATCACCTTGCCCACTTTTGATATTAATGATATATATGTCGATAATTATTGAGAAGAGAAGGGTTATCTTTTTTGAACACTGCGGCAACGTTAGCAAATTTCCAGTTACTAGGAAAAATGAAGTGGTTAAAGAACCATTAAAGATTATTTGAAGAGGGTAACTCAAAATTAAAGCTGCTTCCTTCAGGAGTCTTGGATTTATAAGGTCAGGTCCAACTGCCTTAGAGCAATCTAGATTAGATACAACTGATATAATGTCGTTTCTATCAATATATATATGGGTAAGTAGGGGTTCGTTGTTGTTAGTAAGTGGGAGTTCCGCATTAATATCATCAACGGTAGAGTTAAGACAAAATCAGTATAATCGGTAATAATAGAAGTATGAGTATGAATGGGTGGTATGTTACACGTTTTACTAGTGTGAAACCTTAGTTTACCTACCGTCATATTTCCCAGTATTCCACAAAGTTTACGAACATATTTAGTTTTTGCATTACGTATTATACTTAACACACTTGTTCCTTACTCTTTTATCCTTAACCCAATCCTCTATGGTTCCTGATCTCTTAGCTAATCTAAATAATCTTTTTCTTTTTCGATTAAGTTTACGAATTTCTCTTGTCATCCATGGAGGTTCTCTCCTACGTATTGTTACCAATTT